GTGGACATGTTGCCTGGATCCCTGGTTGGCTCCTAATGCTCCTGGTGACACCTGAATACAGTGGTGCCTCGCAAGACGAGCGCTTCATAAAACGACGAAATCGCATCACGACGAAGTTTTTGCGATCGCAAAACAATGTTTCCTATGGGGTTTTTTCACTTTGTGATGATCGGTTCCCTGCTTCGCTAACCAATTATCGCAAAATGAAGATTTTCACACAGCTGATCGGTGGTTTCAAAATGGCCGCTGGGTTAAAAAAAATGGCCGCCCGCTGTTTTCTGGGACGGTTTCCTCGCTGCACGGGCAGCAAAAATGGCCGCGCTATGGAGGATCTTCGCCGGATGGTGAGTCGGAAGCCCATAGGAACACATTAATTGGGTTTTAATGCATTTCTATGGGCTTTTAAAAATTGCTTTACAATGTTTTCGTTCTACAGCGATTTCGCTGGAATGAATTAACATCGTAATGCGAGGCACCACTGTAGTTTGCACAAGCTTTTGAATGTACTGAGGGTCTCCTTATAGATCTCAGTGTTCTTGTTTACATATCGTATGTGATATATGTAAAATAGATCTGAAGGTTTTTTTTCTAATAAGGTATTCTGAGAAATCTGAGCGGAGCATTGTTACAAATATTATTTCGCTAATTAAAATTCTATGCTACCTCTCTCCCTGTAAAGCAGTGCTTCACAACTTCGGGCACCCAGATATTCTTGGACTAAAACTCCCAGAAATCCTGACCAGGACAGCTTTAGTCCAAGAACATCTGAGACCCAGAATTGGGAACCACAGATTTCTAGGGTCACCCTAATTCGAGTTGGTTAGATGAAAAGATTAGACATGTCAGCTGATACAGTATTTGGTTTGCATAGTGGGTTCAAATGCAACAGGGAAATGTGAGAGGCCCAAGGGATTCCACTTCCTGCTACATTCGCTTCAGCATATGGAGTGCCTAACATGAGGCCCTGATGCAACTTTCATTTTTCTCTAGCCAGCTTTCTGTGTTTCCGGCCATTCAGCTCCGACCCTTGCAATCAGACAGAGTCTGGAGCCCAGGTTAAGCTGATCACCAGATGACAACTCGACTTGAGCCTCAGCTTTCCTGAACACATAATTCCTGTGGCAATGAACTATTAGAAGAAATGGGCTTTAACTATCGATCGGTTTCGGAGCCAGACTGTCTGAGGCTCTTGTGCTTCTGGGTTAAAGCTGTCACAGTTAATGCACATGTCTGCAAGAGGAAATGGTGCCAAGATTCATAATTAGTTAAAGGTAAAGGAAATTTGTCATGGAAGAGGTGATCTCTTCCTGTAATTGTAAAATGGAGGTCATCTCTCTCTCTCTCTCTCTCTCTCTCTCTCCCCTCTGCCATCCATTTTCTTCCCTTTGTTGAGCAGGAATCATCTTCTGGCTCCCTCTTGTGGAAATGATTCAATAGTCCAGAGGTGGGGAAGGGAGAAAGGTGCAAAGGTAGGTATTAGAGGTTTTTCCTAGCAATGCAACGAATTTTTACAAAATTATTCATTCTTGAATAACTCGCAGCAAATACACTTTCCTGGTTTATTGCAAAGGTGTCATTACACCCAGAATCTTATGGCACCTTGAGCTGGTTTTAGTATTCATTTGAGATTAGATTAGGCATCCTTCAGTCTCGAGAGACTATGGTAACATGCTCTGAATAGAGGACTTGGAGCAGCATCTAGTGTGGCTGAAAAGGCCAATTCGAGAGTGACAATTCTTTTAGTATTCGTAAGTTTCTATGTTTTGTGGGCTGTTTCTTCAGATGTTTAAAGTATAGCTGCTGTAGATTGGGCAAAGGGGAGAATCAAAAGGAAAATAAATGCAAAAGTTCCAGCATTCTGACAGTGATGGCCAAACGGTGTTGTTAAAGGTTGCTGGCGGTCCTTGGGGTTTAACAACAAGAAGTCTTAATGGTGGCCATTAAAAATCATTCAAAGGTCATTGATGAGTGACAAGTATGCCCGAACATTGTGAAGAGATCAATACATATAGGATGGGGAGAGGTCTTTGTTTAAATCCAGTACAGTGGAAGAGTACAGTCCACAGTTCGTCCAGGGTTGAAATCAGAAAGGGCAAAGGAATAGATTTGGCAAACTACATGTATAAAAACTAGACCCAACATTTCTCATAAAGCAGACATTATTTGGGCATTAAAACAGGCAAACTTTTCAACAATGAGCTGATTAATGTCTGTGATGAGATGAAAAGAACCTTGTCTGTGTTCAGTCCAAGAGAGATTGAATGCTCTTCTCAAGCCAGAGGAGAAAATATACCACTTTCTTGCAACCTAAGAGAAAATATTACCTTGGGAACTGGACAAGAGTATTCCAGATGAGTTTGACCAAAGTGAGGTGGCTTACTCTGTTTCGTGTATCCTCTCTAACCTCTGGAAATGGAACACAAAGAATTCATATTTGTATCTGGAATGCAGTTGAGGTCCTTCAACAGTAGATGTCAGGATTGCATCACAAATTAATGTTTCCTGTGAGGTTCTGCTTTTGCCAAAAATCTAGGTAGGTACACCTAGTGCTAAGTAAACTGAAATTCAGCCAGAGTGAGGAAGATGATGGGATGGCATCAAAGGCAGTTTCTTTCTCAAAGAAATAGATAGTTTAGGGAGGTTACAGTTACGTTGGTTGGGACTGTGCACATCTGGGAAAGAGTGAATTCCTTCATGTTACCCCTCCAGTCCTAACTATACACCTTTGCCATGGATGATAATATTAAAGGAAAAACAGGACATGTGGACTGCATCTAAGAGTCCTATTGCACCTTCAGCACTAAAACATTTATTCTAGAGTGAGTTCTTGTCCCTTATAGTCCAAATCCTCAAATGCATTCAGTGTATTGCACCATTTTTTATTTGTTTCATCAAGCAGAGCTGATAAATCTGCACTGCAGAACTTTGTTTGTTCTGCTGTGAAAAGGCAACATTGTGTAAAAGTTCAGGGTGTGGACAGAGAGAAGGAAGCATGGCGGCAGAATGTTGTCATTTTAATTTATATGCCACTCAATAGCGCTAGAACACTCTCTAGGCAGTTTATAATTATGCAAGCAACACTTCCTCTCACACCCACACCCAACCTAGCTACTTACTCATTTTACTGATTTTGGAAGGAAGGAAGAACATCAATCACATGAGCCAGCTACCTGAACCTATCAAGATCAAACTCAGGTAATGAGCAGAGTTTTGACTGCAGTATTGCAGTTTACTCACTGTCCCATCTTTGTCTAGTGGCAATGAGTTACATTAACTCATGCTTGCTCCAGGGTGCCATAATTGAGCCAAACTACTCAGAATGTAAATGAGACAGACACCATCATATATTTTGACTTTTTTTCAAGAACATGTTTTTATTTTATATAAGAACCTTTTAAATACAGACATATTTGTAAATATATATTCTTCATAGATAACAAAACAATATTTAACCTCTACTCACCAATTGCAAACTTGCATATATTTTAAAAATTACAGTTATGGGGAGGCAAGAGAACAGAGGGGGGGGGGAAGGGATAATCATTAAGAAAGTCACAAGCCCAGAGCAACAACACAGTCAAGTAGGAAACTCTTGAAATGTGTGAGAGCTGTTTCTAAGGAACTACAATGAAGTCTACATTCACCATTTGGTAGGGGCAGATGATGAAGATGTAACAGTGATCACAAAAATACGCAAGGATGAGTTGTACATGCATATGTATTAAATGAGACAAATGGCAGTCCTAAGCTTGCCTTGCGCCTCCAGCCTGGTTTTGCAATACTGACACAGACACAGAGTAATGCATTGCTATACACAAAGCAGCCTGCGTGGGGCCATAGGCAGGATTGCATCTGGAGGCTCACTGTGTGGAGGTCTGTTGATGTCCAACTGCACTTTTTACCACTGGCGCACTGAACACCCCACAAAAAGGCTTGATGGAATCACACAGAAATGTAAATCTTAACTTGGCTCATTCTAGCTCAGTATATTAGATAATACATATCCCCCCTCCTCCAAGATGTCAGGATTTATCTATTATTATTTTTTGCTCTGGGTGAAACTTTGCTCTGGGTGAAATTCTGTACATTTTCAAGACTGTTGTTAGGAGGGTGAGTGAAAATAGCAGCCTCGGATGGGTTGTTTGTGTCTTTGACCTATCAGTCTGTATTTTTGTGTTTGCTCTAAGCCCACCCTTAGCTTCATAAATGGGGGAGAGGGGGAACACAAGTTTTCAGAGAGACAGAACTTTTGAGCAAAGTGAATTTTTCACAGTTACAGAAACCATGATGGAGAAGACACATTTGGTGACCATGGCTTAGCAAATGGATTGACAAATCTTTGAGATTCTGCCTCCCCCTCTCTTAGAATCTCACCAATGGTGTCTTCATTTCCTTATATCTGTGCATTATGAGCACATCAGATGTGCTTTGGACTGTGTGTCTTTTATCCAGGTGTTTTGGTGAAATCAAAGGAGAGGAAGACAATAAGGTACTCAACAAATGTGGGGCCCTATGCGATACTTTAACAATGAATTCAGAGAATGCCATGACCACATTGGTCCATCCTGGAAATAAGAGCCGGTAACTCAGAGCTCCAAAATCTGTGGGGAGAGAGGGTGTGCAGTCAAGATAGATCTGATTTCAGAAATATTTTTACCTAAGCCATTGTGAGAAAGAGGAGGAGGAGGAGGAGGAGAAATTTTTCTTCCTTTTTCTTTCAATTTTCTTTCTTTTTTCCTCCTGATCTAACAAGACTATATTCTTCTGGCAGTGCTTGTGTGCCTGTTTATATTTTTGTTTCTGTTTTTTTTTTAAAAAAGGTTAAATTAAAATGATAGTTTTTGTTCCTATCTAAATTTCATCTCGAACCATTTCACTCTTGTCCCGTTCATGAGCTCTCTCTCTCGCTCTCTCTCCATCTTTCTCTCTCTCTCTCTCTCTCTCTCTCTCTCTCTCTCTCTCTCACACACACACACACACACACACAGAGAGAGAGAGAAATATACACTGTTCCATAGAGTAAACCCCCCCCAAACACAACTCCCAGGTGCTTCACTTCCTATATAAAAAAAACAGGTGTTCAAAGAGGATTTCATCAGATGAAAGACATGAACATTCACACAGTAGTGTTTTTGTGTATCTTTTTAAGGTTTACATTCTAACATAAATAGATGATCAAATAAAGACCTCAAAGATGCTGTGGTCTGTTCAAGTGTTCATGTGGGTGGGTGGGGGCCTTTATCATTTAGGATTGCCAGCTGGCCTGCCCTGCCCTTGCCCCTTTAAGACACACAACATCTGAGAGGGCAGAGAGCTGCATAGAGTTTAAAACCCAGATGAGGATCAAGTACTATTAGAAACACAGCAATAGTGGGTTTCAAAAGACGTTGGCAATCCTTGCAAGATTACACATGACTGCTGGACATTCATGGTAGATAATATGACACCAGGTATTTGAAGTCTGAAGTTTGCTTTTGTGTTTCTTGATAAAGGAGTTGACAGAAGAGGTTGTATTTCCAAATAATTCAATGAAGTGGATGGCTTCATTTGTTTGTTTTTGAAGCACTAGATAAGGCCAAGTTTTACTCCATGGTGCAAAAAAAGAAAAAGAAAAAAGAAGATGATCATCATCTATCTGTACACTGGTCAGATATGAACAATTTCCAGTCCCGTGAAATTTTCAGGCAACTTTCTGAAATCTCAGATCTTGTTCATGGATGGCAGTGACAAGTCGCAGAGACTGACAAGGACCGTTGGTGCAGAAACAGAATCGCTTCTAGATGCTCGGCTTGGTTTTACAATTCACCAAAAAAAAAATAAAAATCCACTCAGATTTACAGCAGGAATAAAATGCTCAAATCACAGTTTGACCGCCGTGGATGTCACAGGACTAGGCTGAAGAAGTCCCTGTCCATTTCTTTCTTGAGAGTCAGCATTGCTGGAGAGGACACTCAAAGGCAAACATGGCAACCTGGTTTTCAGAGAAATGTTTGAACTTTCCTCAGAAAGCCCCTATTCTTTGCTCCTTTGAAGCCAAGAAAGTGCAACGTCTTCTTCAAACCAGAGGAAACGAATTGGTTTGGTCCTTCAACTTTGTTTCATACCTTGGGGTTACCCAGCGGCTTCTGTGCCTTAAAAAAAGAAAGGCAGTGAAATGATGAGTTCAAATAACTGTCAGCATGGGATTACAACGAGCAAGATCCAAATCTCTAAGGATGTAGTCTTAAACACTCAGAACAATCCTAATTGTGTGATATAGGATGGGAGAGATATGACAGGCAATCTCCTACCGCCCTGTCGTATCAGTTAGGAGAGAATCTACTGAGCAAATCCTGTCAGTTTTTTGTCATTTTAAATTTTTTTCTCCTTTGAAACCAAAAGTGAGGAAATGAGATACTGTACATTAATTCTAGGCTGGGACCGATTGAATCAGAGGGGATTAAGTGAATGAACTCTTATGCATGAACTACTGATTCACTAGACATTTATACCCATAGTGCTTCCCATGGGCATATCACGGGCCCCAAAGACAGATGGGCCCTGCCCTCACCAAGAGTATACTAGCAGAAGGTTTTGTTGTTGTTGTTGTTGTTTCACCCAGAGTTATTCCAGACAGCAGATCTACTGGTTAGAATTGCACTGAAACGATCATTTATTGTTGATCTTCGAAATACTCAAGGGGGCTTATATAAGATGCCAATAGGAACAACAATAAAGCCATCACGCTAATTAAGAAACACAGAGCGATACTCCCATGCATCCTCCCCTTCAAGAAAGAGGATAAATATAGCAAAGCATCCATAAAAATAAAATACAAATAACACTGGAAATCCAATGTCTTGATGCACCACAAGCTTTCCAAAAAGGAAATGCCCCACAGCACTGGGGAAGCAGAAGTCTGCCAGACCTCCCAGAGCAGAAGGTTCCACACACTAGGTACTATATCACAGAACAGTCCCTAGTTCCCGTCACTTACCAGGGAGTAAGTCCTGGTGATCTTACCTAATTCTGAGTAAACCTAGCATAGTAAGACACACTAAGATTTTTGTGTTGAGGCAGCCTTCTGCCTGCTGAGAGAGGGGCATTTCCTGGTTTGTTATTCAATTCTTCTGCTGATTTTTTTAAAATGCCTTTTAATACATTAGCACAAAATTATAATGTATTTTGTGTTGAGGCAGCCTTCTGCCTGCTGAGAAAGGGGCATTTCCTGGTTTATTCAAGTCTTCTGCTGATTTTTAATGCCTTTTAATTCATTAGCATAAAATTATAATGTATTCAATTGTTCTTTAACATTATACACTTATGCTTATTTCCCTCTATTCCTGCTTTTAATCTATACTTGTTTTTAATCCTGTGGGGTAAGGTCAGTCTGTTTTGGAAGACAGGTGATGTAAAAAAGAGGATTCCTGTTCTGTCAACTTCATCCCTTGGAAAGATTCCTTCCCAGAGTCACCTTGCCATGTGGAGGGGGTCCCGGCTCTTTTATTCTTCCATCACAAACTGTAAATTGCCCCCTTTATTGCTTATGCCAACCACTCAGGTTTCTAAACCATCTCTGCCCCCTTACCTGAGGAGGAGGTGGTGGTGGTGCCTTCGACTTGAAGTGAGGAGTTGGAATCACCTTCATGGCCGCCACCTGGAAGAGAAGTGCCAGATTGTCCTAAGCAAATGTCACTTAATGTCCTCGTTCAGTCACTCTTAGTAGCCTCGTCCCAAGAAATGCCACTACTGGATTGCAGTCTATGTGTTAAATATCCTCCATATACTCATCACCTACTGTTCTAAACAGAAGAACTGCCATACTGTGGTCAAGAAGCAAAATCAACTATCGCTGCACAGCATGGCATAATGCAGTGCCAAAAAATATATTGCACATTCTCTCATGTCATTCTAATTCAATTTGACAGATAAGAAATTGCTTTTTTGGAGGAAACCCCCCAAACTAGAACATCTTGATGAAATCTTCAAAGTTGGGGCACGAGGATATTTTTGTTAGGACTTGTGTGTGTGTGTGCTTCCCTTAAATTCAAGTTGCCAAAAAGAATTAATGACTATCCTTTCATTCATTACAAAGTAACTTCTCAAGAAAACTGCAGTCGTTTTTTAAAAAGAGGAAGAAAGAAAACAACTCATTCTGGCTTCCTATGTATCATGCAGCTTTTTTGGACTGGGACGTATAAGAAACCAGAAATCGAAAGAAAATTAAATAATATCCATCACCATTTCACAGTGATCAGGTAGCCAATAAAAACACTACTGAAATGATGGAAAAGAAATTCCAAAATGGGAACAGGAGGATGAAAAAAGGGAAGAAAAGAAAATGAAGACAGCAAAATTGCTTCATTTCAGAGAGAAGTAAAACTTCTGGGGAGCTGGATGTTTGCTTAATACGGAACAATGTCATTCCCTTTGAACACAATGGTGTTTGCTTCCGAGTAAACAAGAACAAGAACGGGCTGTAAAGTGATGCCATGCATGATATTGTGAAACTATGAAACACATCACGCATGGACATTAAAAGCAATTCAAGCAACTACAAAGAGAGAAATATGTATGGCATAAAAATCAGTCAATCTATTCCCTATTTAGAAGCAATGAGGCAAAAGCAATGAAGTGGTATAGCCTTTGCATCGAGACTGTACCACACTCACATGGGGCAGAGGATGGATCCATTTGAAAACAAGGTGAAACACTTGTTATTTTAAAAAACGTATGAGAGAAAAGTCTAGACAATTAAAGTTCTTCATGACATACTAGGTTTTTCACATAGTAAATTGTTCTAAAGAAATGAAAATCCCTACATGGCTTCTTTCATAAACGTTAGAGGTTTTAGAGTCCTCGAAGGAGTGGAAAAGTGTTTTTAATATCACAGATAAGCACACTTAATTCGAAAGAGGGTACCAGGAGAAGAGCAAATATTAACTTAATAACTTTCTTGCAATTTAGCATCTCTCCAGAAAAGCACCAGTTTACTGGAAAAATGTCTCAACTCTCTGCAGTTGGAAGAAGAGGGAATTGCTGGTGAATGAGAAGCTGAGGTAGCAGCCTGGGGAAATCTTTCAGCATAGAACATAACTTCAGCCATCAAAACAGACACTTGGGGTGACCACATCTGAAAGTCCTTCACTATTCCCGTGCCCCCACCGATCCTAAGCTCTCTCCCCACTGGCTGAACACCTTTGAGATCACCCCTTGATTTTATGCCCATCAGCCTTCAGCTAGAACAGAGGAGCCCCATCTTGGATGGCCAATGATTAAGAAGCTGACTTACGGTATTCCCTGTGACAGGAGGTAAGGCAGTCGGAACTGGAGGTGGAGGGATATTTGGTTTGACAATAGGCTGGAAAAGAAGAAAAGAGGAACTTATTGCATTTACATACAATAGTCAAGAAACATTGGGATATCAAGAGAACAACCACAATTGTCTGAAGAAGCCTTCATTTTTGTCAAGGATATCAAGGAAGGCAAGAGTGAGAAGAAGCCTTGGGAGCATTTTCCATTTTCTTCTCTTGCTCTAACTCCAGCTTGTCTTTCTGCAGCAAATGTCAGTAAGCATTTTCCATTTTCTTCTCTTGCTCTAAGCCCAGCTTGTTTTTTCTGCAGCAAATGTCACCAAACAGTGCTCATTTTCAGTGTGTAAACTGTCATCTCTTGCAATGAATGATCACATTCTAAGGATGTGGTCTTTGTAATTTATAATTTCACCCTTGGAAATAGTAGACTGAATGCAATGGAACTTTTATCTAATACAAGTGTCCTTTATTCAAGTGTCCTACTCACCATTCTGGAGTTTTGATAGAAGGCTGGGGTGTGGCTGGATTGTTCATCTGGTATATTCTGAGACATAACAGGAAGTAACACCAGATTAATGGTAACAGCATGGAGAATATCTGCAGACGGTGTCATATGACCCAAATATTCACCTAAATAGGAGGTGTGAGTCCCTGAATATAAACAGCAGCATGCTAGGGACAGCCATTTTAACTCTGTTTTCTCTGTGATGTTCCAATTTTCTGTTTATATATAAGTGAATCATGCAAATTCAATCCTGGTCATGCCCACTTGGAAGTAAGTTTTGCAGAACTCAATGAGATGTGCATCAGTACAGAGGCACAAGATCAATTGTGGACTCTTCTTTTTTGAAGCTGATGTGTTTTAAAAACAGTATCAGTTGAATGTTTGCTTTCATGGTTATACTATGCAATTCCATATTAAACATATTTGATTTGGTTTGTTTGATTTTGACTAAGCCATCAGTGTCATGCCTCTAAGTGAAAAATATTTCATTTAGTTCTACTCACAACACGAAGTGGTGGCTTGTTTGCTGGAGGTGGAGGTGGCGGAAGGAGAAATCGAGTCGAGTTGACCTGGAAATGTGAAATGATCAGAGCATTAGATCACATCTAATCTTTGTTTTATTGTCTCCTTATTTTTTTTTATTATTGTCTTCTTCCTCACCCCATTCTCAAAAGCTGTGGGAGCAAGAAGCTTTGGGGAGGAGTTAAACTTCCAGTGACAGCTGGCAATATTCAGATGCCAGTCCAGATAAACCTCATGATCTTCCACTAGCAAGTGTCATCAAATGACCGAAAAAAGAGAGTCCAAACAGGGTTGCATCTGGAAGACCCTTGAACTAGTCAGTTTTGTTGTCGAACTTTTCATTTTCTAAAAGTTATTTTTTTTGGTTAACCTCAAGTTCTCGCTATTGCATGTATGGAGTAACATGAGTGTCTCAAAATTGTCTATCGGGGGGGGGGGAGCAAAACTGTCTAAAGTTCAAAAAAAAAAAAGAATGCCTTCTGGGTTAAGTCACATAACCCCAATCTACCACACTCACTCAGAGTGAATTTAGCTGTCCCGTTGTTCATGTGTCTCTTATTTAAACCATTTGTGTTGGTTCTTACCTCTGGCGGTCCAGGTGCAGGGACAGTATTAGGTCTTCTCTTCTGCTCTTGACCAGAGAAGCCTGGGTTAGTAGCTCCAGGTGCACTCTTGTGGATACTAAAAACAACAACACCAAGAACCATTAAATATTAGCATGAGACCTGTAATCTGTACTAATTGTCTTAAACATTCAACACTCGGCAACATCAAAGCCAATGTCTAACTAGATTTAACAGGCACATCAAGTATCTCCCGGCTTTTGAAAAACTTTTTAATGGAAGGCTGAGGACTCTCTTGCTCAGTGCTGAAGCTGAAGAGAAGATAGTAATTCTCGAAGGCAAAAACCCATGGAACTGTGGTTGAAGAGATTTTTTAATTATTATGATTATAGTTATTGATGGAAGTCGATAGCATGTGACAGCTTCCAAAAGCAGAGTCTTATAGTTATGGGGAAGAGGTTGAGGTCTGTCAAAATGGAAAGAAAACCTTCATTATAATTCTATTGTTATGGCTGATTAGAGGTTTCCACATCAGCTCCCTTCAGAATAATCCTGGAGATTGTGCTTCTCTGTCATAATTCCTTCTGGTGACCTATTGATTATGGCTTTTATTCACCAATTTGGTAGTTCTACCTCTGAATTCAGCTGCAAGTTGAATGCTTGAAGTCTCCCCTTGCAGCTCTGCCTCTTTAAGAAAAAGGCTAAAATGGCAACACCCCCTTCTATTTTAAGTGGGTATGGCTTTCTTAGAGATCCAACTATATGAAGGAATTTGGTTAAGTCCAAGAGATTTTGTTCCCTTTGACTGTTGGGCTTCCTTTATCTACACAGCAACTTTTTAAAACTTTTTTTTTCTAAAGATGAATGTTTTCTCAACACTGATCATTGAGTGATCCTATATTTTAAAGGACAGAACATAGGGATATACATTTCTGCTCATCTCATTTTCTGCACTTCCTCTTCCTTTCTCTCTTATGTCATGTTGTTTTGGATGCTAAGCCTGAGCTTAAGAACTATCCTACTTCTTCTTTTGCTTTGTCAGATGCGCAAACTGTTCCAAAAGCCCTTCGGGCTGGGAAGGGGGGGTGTATATTCTAGGCAAAAATTGGATAAAACAGACACTTAAGAGAAAGTTCAGCTGAGAATGGGTTTGCTTTAAAGCTTCACCTTTGACTCTGTTTCTTCTTTAAAATTTTATAGCGGACCAGGATGGCGATGATGATTGCTGTGACCGCAAGGGCCACCAGTACAGCCGCAATGATGATGATATCTGCAAAGGAAAAGAAAGGACTCCTGAGACAGTGCTGAGGTTTTACAGAAGGAAAATCTTGCAGGAACCCCAGAGCCAATTGCTAGAAATCCTGCTGCCCCAGACCTTTGCATCTGTTATATGTAAAACACGATCAATGTGTGCTTCCTTAGAAGAAATGTGTTTCTTATTATTAATCTATTTTCCGTTCCTTAATTACCTTTCCTTGGTGGCATGTCCCATAGCCATCATTTATCTTCCAATGACCAATGCCAAAACAAAGCACACTAAATGCAAGATATGCAAGTAAGGCAAATTGCGCTTTGCAAACAAAGCATCTTTCATTTCTTGAGAGAGAGAGCAGCTCTTCTGAACCTGTGTTAAGCATATCCTCTAGTTCCCCTATAGACAGTTCCCCTTAGGAGCCTTTGTTCCGTCGGGAGAATTTTGTCACTAATACACTAAAACCTACAGGGTTTAAGAATGTGTTCTTGATATTTTATAATGGCCATAATCCTACTGGTTATCTACATCACTGGTGTGAGGAAATAAACTACGGCAGCAAATAACCCCTAGCTAATAAGTCACTGCTTGGATTCCTCACTGTACACACAGTTATGTGACTGGTGGGTGATAACAAACACAAGTAGATGCAATTCACTGCTACGGCAAACATCCTTGCACTCACACCAGCATAAATAACCGAATATGATTCTGGGCATTGTGGTATTGACTCCTGCTGTTGCACAAGCCACTCTACTCCCTGCAGAGTGAAGGGCAGCATCTGTCTTGAATTTTTTAAAATGCAACAAGAATTCTACAGCGGAGGTATCCCTTTTCATTTTGGGCTGGTTGCATTACTTAGGTTCCCTATCAGAGACTCCTTCATCGGAGGAGCTGACTATTATTTTGAAATGGCCGGGCCACTAGTTTCATCAAGTTATCAAAACGTGTGGTCATGCGGAAAAAGCACTGCACATGTTTGTGTGTGTTTTCCAGATGTAATGGAGACAGTTTTTGAGCAATGAAAGCCAGACTAAAGCTACTGAACTTTGAGGTGAGAAGAAGATATTGAGAGATTATCAAATGCAAAGGAAAGCTACCTCCAGTAGCATCAGCTCTTGGTGTTTTCCCCTGCCACTGTAGCTACACATTGTGCAACACAACTTCTGCCAGGGATGGGTAACCTCAACAGGCTTGGAACCCAATTATGCTAATGAGCACATTAGGAAGAGATGTATTAAAAGGAGCATGAATTTCATGTGGGGGCATTGGTGGAAAGAAATTCTCACCTTCCATATGAAACCAAGGCAGGCAGAAGAAAATTCAAGTAGTATTCAGAGAAGCACTACAGAATCTAAACCAGTTGTGTTGACTAGTTAAGGAAAGAAAAGGTGAAATGAGGCTTCAGGTTTCTGACTTCAACTTACATCTGTTTGCTGTGGGACCATCACAGTTTGGTGGTGCCCATCCTTCTTCACATTGGCATTGGAGCTCATGGTCACAAACCTAGGACAACAGAAACCTAACATTAGTCTCCAGAATGAGTAAGTTTGAAACGATTCTTTCCCTACCCTTCATTGAAATAATTTATCCTAAACTGTCATTTTCTCAGGTCTGACACTCAGTATGTCCATACATTAAATCAAGATATCATCATCGCCACTACAACCACCACCAACAACAACATCTAATTTATGGTGACTCTTTTCAGGGCTGTATAGGTATATGCCAGAATTTTTGGTATATTGTTTAACACACATTCATAAAAAGCAGAAATAGTAAATGAAAAAGAGTTCCACGTAGCTTCTTCAGTTCCAAGTAGCTTCTTCAGTCTGAAAAGAGTCAGTAGGAGACCCCTGATATTTCCTCCACATTGGTTTCACTTCCCCCTGAGATCATCTCTCACCCCCAGTCATTTGTCCTGAGCCTATTCAGACCAGGGGGAAGTGAAACCGATGTGGAGAATATATCAGGGGATTCCTATCAACTCTCCTCAGTCTGAAGAACCAACTGTGGGACTCTGCCACTGCAGTCAAACATGGATCTCCACCAGTTCAGATTCCTTTCCAGAAACAGGTCTGACTGCTTTTGCATAGTTAATCCAGATTCACTCCAATACAAAGGCAGAGCATGGCCTTTTAAACAGCAATATATAAACAGCCATGGGTAGTTACATGCTGGCATCTGCCAGAAGCTAAAAAGTAAAAGTGGGCATGAGGATTCATGCCCAATCGCAAGAGAAACCAAAGGTTTCATCAGAGAGATTTAGTGGATCATTGAAGAACAGGGTCCTGGGAGAATACTGTGAGATAAAAGGTAAAGATGGTAGGTAGACATGTTTAACAGAAGAGGGAAAGATCTCTAGAGACGCATCTCAAAGCAGAAAATGTATTCATCCCTTAACTTACAGCATGTCCTTGGCATTTGTTGGAGCAGTTAGTAGACCTGTAGGCTCTCTCAATCTCAATACACTTGCCATTGTAGCAGACCTAGAAGATAAAAGCCAGAGCTGGTCAACAGGAGAAGACACCAGCCTTTCAGATTCAACACAAAATTGCCCATTGCTGCTGCCTATGGGAGGGATGGACAGCCTGCAATCCTCTCAATGTTGTCAGACTGTAATTTCCATTGATCTTAGCCCATGGGTAGGGATCATAGCAGTTGCAATCCCAGAACATTTGGAGGTCAATGAGTTCTCGATGCATGGTCAAAATCCAGAGTGCTATGTAACTCCCTTGAATTTGCCTACACTCACAAAACCTCGAGGTTGCATTCGATGGAAATATCCATCGAAGTAATTCTGAAGAGACATTAAATGGTTGCTGTGGGTTTTTCAGGCTCTTTGGCAGTATTCTTAAGTTTGTTCTTCCTAACTTTTCACCAGTCTCTGTGGCTGGCATCTTCAGAGTGCTGTCCTCTGAAGATGCCGTCCACAGAGACTGACAAAACGTTAGGAAGAACAAACTTCAGAACACTGCCAAAGAGCCCAAAAAACCCACAACAACCATTCGATCGTGAATACAGTCATTAAATGGCTCACTTTTATTTATATCCAAGTTGGCAAGAGGATCACTCAGAAGTCACAGTGAGCCCACACAAATACGCCATTCCTCTTTTACATTTCCCAGGAGAGTATTCTACAAAGTAAGATGTCCCACATCATCATACTATCATGGAAGCTAAGGTGGATGCTTAGGAAAAAAAAAGATGTCATCAAATGGTTGGGGAGGGAGAGAGAACATATATTCATAAAATGTTCATATATTAAGTCAAAGGAACCAATTTATGATGACCAAAGGTGACATAGTTCCTAAGCAACCTCAGAGATGCTCTGAGCCTTCTCTCAAGATTATTGCAACTTTAGCAATTAGCCTGACATTTCATGTCAGCATCATACCTCATGAAGTTTGCTTTTAAGGTTTTAACGTTACTTTTTTTGTTAGAGGGCCACACTGGCTGGAATCTCTGGAAGTTGTGATGAAAAAGTAACTTCCAAGCTCTGAGAGGAAACCCTCAGACCTTTAATTGATATAAAATACTTCAGACATTGAATTCAGGATGCCGTTGTATACACATTTAGAATAGAGAAACACAACTGGGGAAACAGGCTTCAGTCAAAGGCATAATCAGCATCACAAGGTGTATTTCCCCCCGCGATACAACTCCGCTTGGCAAACTGTTTAGGAAAGACAAGTTCGTTTTGTAGTCCTTGCAGCACTTTGAGCAAAATCTGTACAAAAACGGTGTCATCAGGACCTGTTCCACCGAGCGCACTTAACGGTTCATCAGAGACATCCCTAAACTTACCATGCCTTCTCCACATTTTGTTCCATAACTGACCATTCCACCATCCTCTTGACCTTTGCTTGGGAAGCTGGCTTTACAGCTATCAAAAGACACTAGACTTCCCGTCGAAGGCATTCGGGAACCACCAGTGCAATACAGTTTGCCACACTTTAGATCCCTGGAAAAGAGGTCACTTTCAGTTGCAGGACTTGTGTTTCATCAATTGTTCAGTCTGACTGTCCATCAGCAAATAATAATGAAGTGATCTTTAGCCCTACAATGCATATTTACCCGTATTTTTCGCTCCATAAGACGTACCTTTCCATAAGACGCACCAATTTTTTAGGAGAAGAAAACAGGAAAATATAATCTGTTTTCTTCTCTCCATAAGACACACAGACTTTCCACCCCCCTGTTTTGTGGGGGGAAAGTGCGTCTTATGGTGCGAAAAATACGGTAATATTTTATTTGACCACTAAGACCCTCAGTTACTTACTTCTGTCCACATGGAACAGGAAGCTGGCTTTACAGCTATCAAAAGACACTAGACTTCCCGTCGAAGGCATTCGGGAACCACCAGTGCAATACAGTTTGCCACACTTTAGATCCCTGGAAAAGAGGTCACTTTCAGTTGCAGGACTTGTGTTTCATCAATTGTTCAGTCTGACTGTCCATCAGCAAATAATAATGAAGTGATCTTTAGCCCTACAATGCATATTTAATGTTTTATTTGACCACAAAGACCCTGCATTACTTACTTCTGTCCACACGGAATGTATGTGCCATTAGCCTTCCTGCAGTGGCCGTAATACACTCCATTCTGGTTGACAGTGTAACAAGAATCTGCACCCACTTTGGCATCTGTAAAGGGAGAAAAAGAATGTGTCCATTACGGTGTAACATTCCAATATTGGTAAAAAAATACTTTGAACTATTTCCAAACTAGACAAATAGATGAAACAGGAATGGGTTAATTGGTGGCCAAAAAAAGAGAGAACTGTTGGATAGATTAGTGGTTTAAGTATTTGGCTGTGGAGTCAGAGGTTGAGAATTGAACAGTGTAACAAGAATCTGCACCCACTTTGGCATCTGTAAAGGGAGAAAGAGAATGTGTCCATTACGGTGTACATTCCAATATTCTAATAGGCCTATTGAATAAATGGGGATTTGGTAAGTCAATTTTTCCATACATTTCCTGGACTCAAGCTTGAAGATCCATAGGGCCCCTTTCAGCTCTGCAGTTCTAAGATGATAATGACATTCCATTGCTTAGTGTAGTAAATTACACTCTAATAGGCCCATTGAATAAATGGGGATTTGGTGAGTCAATTTTTTCCATACATTTCCTGGACTCAAATTGGCCTATTCTAACTGCAGTTTACTATGCTAAAGTAAGTCACAGCCCATTTGAATTAATCAAACTTACAGAAGAACTGACTCACCGATCCCCATTGATTCAATGGGACAATTCTAGAGTCACAAGATTTGAGCCAATATCAGTTTACCAATAAAAGAAATCTTAACAGTCATTGATATAGTCCAAACTATGCTGAGTGATTTTAATCCAAATATCAAATGTCACTATAAATGTGTGGTCATCTGTGATCACACTTACTTGAAAGTTTTGCGTGGGAGAGTAAGGCCAAAATAAACAAACTTGCACAAAATCATATGGAAACCCAAAAGCAGAGATAGGAACTGAAGTCAAGGCCTACACCTCCATGCCCAGTCCTTCCTTTTTTGGTTGACAGCAATATTGCCTCAGGGTAACCTGAACATAGTAGGGCCACCTCCTTCTCTCTCTCTCTCTCTCTCTCTCTCTCTCTCTCTCTTGAAGCAGCTCTTCTCCTCCTCTCCCTCCTCTCTCTCTCTCTCTCTCTCTCTCATGCATGCACGCGGGCACACACGCACGCACACACACACACACACACACACACACACACACACACCAGGAGCCCTGCAGAGATCTAAAGACCTCCTGGGCAAAGATCAGAAGCCTATGTTCATCACAGCTGCACTTTAAAGGGTTAATCCAAGAATGATCTCGGACAAACATAGAGAAGCGTTTCAAAATGCATCTGGGTGTCTAAGCCTCTTTGTCTCTTCAAGACCCTAAGGATCTGAGAGCGAGGTGGAAGTGGTGCCCCCAAATCATTTCTGCTAGCACATCATACAATCAGTCATGCCAGGGATGCGCAACCAATTGTGCAATTCCCTACTGCAATTCCCTGTGGTTGGTCATAATGCCCACCACATTTACATCAGCATAACTTTATGTCAGTATGAACAAGATGCTAGCCAATAAGGTAGACTGAGAACCACTTTTCGATCTCTGAGTGAGCGCTGTTCCTGATCTCTTTCTCCCCCTCCCAACCTATAGCCAGTTTTGCATCAGCTCTTCTGTTATAACCACTGCTTTGATTCTTAACTCAGCTAATTTCTTAGTACTTAAACCTAAAACTGAAGCCAGTTTAGGAATATCCGCTGAGTGTGTTTGTGTTTTTTTCTTTCTCCTTTCTCCTCTTTAATGTTATATTTAATGTTGCACTGCACAGTTCTTTGGGGGGGGGACACTACTTCCTGTTTCTCAAGAAACATTTTACACAAAAATGAGGAACTAATTTTTAGCTTCCCTTTCCAGAATGTGCCTTTTTCTCAGGTGTAACACTGAGCTCCTACCATTGTCATCACGTTCAGCACAAAACGTATTGACCTGGAGGGCAATTTAAAAAATCCCTCAGTCCCTGGACATATGGGCTAGGAGATTCTGAGATTATGAGAGCTGTCATTTAAAAAAAGCCCTAGATGAGCTCCCTGGATGAGATCCAAATTCTGGATGGAAGAGTGTTTTCTATCACACCTGAAGACAGCAGGCTTATTTGGAGGGGCAGAGGACAAAGTGCATTGCTCTCTCCAGATTTCTCCAACACCTCCTGCCTGAAAGTATGTGACATAAAACTGTATTGTCTTTAAAAAAGGCAAGCCAAAGCATTCAAAAGACACTTCAGGAGCTGTGGTGGGCAAAGCAGCCATCGGTGTCCTGCATGACAGTTTAATCATCTTGCAGGTGTATTTAAACCATTGTGGTCTGGATGCAAGATGCATCATTACCCAACCAGGCACCAAGAGCAACCACAAAAAGAAAGTCTCTCTCTCTCTCTCTCTCTCTCTCTCTCTCTCACACACACACACACAAAATGGTTCCAGGAAGAATATTTTCTGTATCAAGTTATGTTAGGAAGGTATTATTTCATTCTGAGATGAATGCACAGCTTTCATTAGATTCTCAAAGAGGTCCCATGACACAAACAAGATAGAAAACCACGTCTTGAGATGCTCCAGCATACAATTCCCATCACACCTGACTCTTGACTATGCTGGAAAGCACTGGTGGGGATTATAGTTTTATTATATTATAATCTATTATATATAGATTATAGGGATTACAAACAAGATAGAAAACCACGTCTTGAGATGCTCCAGCATACAATTCCCATCACACCTGACTGTTGACTATGCTGGAAAGCACTGGTGGTGATTATAGTCTAAAACAGATAGAGGGAATTAGATTGTGGGATGCTGAGGGAAGGTATGTAATATTGACGAATGGCCACTCCGCTCTGCCATTTTGACAACAGTTTCACAAAGGCTGAAACAGGAACACAGTTGAAACCGTGACCGTTTCTGGCTCATGGGGAAGATGCTTATAACTTAGCTTGTTATGGATACACTGTCATCCTAGGACCAACTTACCTGGTCCCCAAAGATCTGTACACTGGTTCTGTAATGTGGGACACTTCCCCATGTAGCAGTAACCCTGGTTGTTTTTGCAGGGGTGTCCATTCACTCGGAAACGGTCAACCGGACATTGATGAGAGTGGCCCGTACACAATTCTGGGAGATCACAGTCGTGTTTAGCTGGTCGGCAGACAGCTCCTGCTCGCCTAAGCTGTGGAGCAAAATAAGAGGTCCTCCATCTTCATATTCAACAGCAGAGCTTTAGTGGAGATAGCTGGAGTTCCCAACCCACTATGAACCTTTCTCTTTATCTACTGTTGGAATTGCCGGACTAGGAAAAGGTGACCATTTCCTTGTTCTAGAAATGATCCACCCTCTAAAAAGAGTCAACAAAACATCTGGAAGCATCAGCAGTAATCAAATCATAAAGATGTGACACTCATCTATACTATTTTAATTATTTTTAGAAAAGGAAATGGTTACCATAGAAGTGTCACTTGCTAGATCAGGACAGAAGCAACATTGAGGAGCGCTGGGAGCTTTGGATCGCAGCACATCCCATAAATACCAAACCTTGGCAAGTGGGAGTAGCAGTGCTGACTTGTAGTAGAGGCCACTGACCTCAAAAATAGAACTTGGAAGCTGACTTTTTAAAGATAAATTAGTTCTTAATATTGTGGCAAAAAATTAATTGACTGTGGTTTGTGATTATTACTTTAAAGGATCTTCCAAGCTGTACTTAGAAAACCAAAGTGAGGTCTACCTTGGACTACACTTGGCTGTAGTAAAATGAGTATCTAGCAAGAAGCTGGTAGAGTTTTGCCATGCCTGCCACTGGCAATTTAAAGTGGGAGTCAACACAAATGGTTGATGTACAATGGCTTGTGTCCTGACTTAACACAGCTAACCATGCTTTCACTGTAGAATCATGGCAATCTGACTAGAGAAGTGATTCCTATTTTGGATAACCCAGGTAATTGTGGCAATCTGACTAGAGAAGTGATTCCTATAACCCAGGTAATCTTGGACTGCAGTTCCCAGAAGCCCTCACCACCAGCTGGGTCACCCAGGGTTTGTGGGAGCTGCAGTCCAAGAACGCCTGCCTTACCCAAGGTTGGGAACCACTGAACTAGAGAAAGGTGTATGGGATCAGGCTTAAATGATTACGAGCAAGGTGAGCATAACAAAGGAACAGGGTTAATCCAATCTGTCTGATAAAACAGGAGGGTCAAGATGTGCTCTAGCACAGTGGTCCCCGACCTTGGGCCTCCAGATGTTCTTGGACTTCAACTCCCAGAAACCCTGGCCAGCAGAGGCAGTGGTGAAGGCTTCTGGGAGTTGTAGTTCAAGAACATCTGGAGGCCCAAGGTTGGGGATCACTGCTCTAGCACATAAAACAAAACCTTACCTGGCAGTTTTCGCAACATTCTCCATACCCGCATTTAGCGCCGGGCTTGAGTTGACATGTTGTAGCATCACAGCAGTCATTTGTGCATTCCTGAAAATCAACAAAAATCATGTATTAGTACTTGAGACTTCCACCTGGTCTGTTCTGATTAGCATCTTTTGAGAAGATAGATGATCAAGGAAAAGGTATTTCTGCAGCAAGCTTCATTCTGTAGAGGGGTTCACCGGCACATTAATGTTGGTGGCTGTGATCTGCTAACAATCTATTTTCTTATTAAGAGGCAATCATTTCTGCATAACCAAACTCATATGTTTGGGGGCTAAGAAGTAGTGTCAGGTTTCGGTTTTGGGAGAATGACATGAGGTGATAGCTAATCAGCTAGATATATTGACTGCTAATCTGTATCCATGTCATCTGATCAAATAAAACTGAAATCTGTAATTTACAGAATGTTTTGCAAAGCTAGCTTATTTGCAAAATGCATAATTTTCCTTAACGATTGTTTTGCAAAAATAATTCTTCTTTTGAACCTCATGTGATTATGCAGGAAATGGTTGTAATAACAGCAGCTGGAAGAGTCCAGAAGGTATGGTTTCAGGCACATCCACAAATATAAGGACTAGAAACTTGATTTAAATGTGTTTGGGATTTTGGAACTCATGCCTTTGTTTTTGTTTTGTGCTACATATCTGAACCATCCTCCCAGCTCTAATGCTTCCCTGCTTGGTTTCAAGCCCATATGATATTTAATTATGTGCAGCTATGCTGATTGCAGCTTATGACAACCCTTGCAATATAGACAGCACTTTTGGGAAAGCTAGTTGTGGGTTGGAGGGAAAGATGGGTTGCAGATGGATTGAACAATAATGCCCAACAGCATAGCTAATGGCCAAGGAGGATGGGAGGTGTAGTCCTGCACATCTAGAGAGCACCAGGCACTGACTCAGGGAATCTATAAGAATTTCACAGCTTTGCAAAGTTGCTCTAGGAGCTCATGTTCCTAAAAAGATACCTCTGGGGAACCGCAGTCACATTCTTCTCCCTCCTCCACAAAAGCATTTCCACAGACAGGGTTTGCAACAATCTCCCTCGGCAGTGGCATGTTGGTGATGCACATCGGAGTTTGATCCATGATGTATTTCTGAAAATCCTGGAGACTACAGGAGCTGAAATCCTTGGGGGTTTTATAGCTGTAAAGACAAACCAATATACGGAAAATTAACACTGGGTGTGTTTGGAGAGGGTTTCTCAGAGTATGTCTGCACTATACAGTTATGAGTGGTTTGATCCCACTTTAACTGCATGATTCCATCTCATGGAATCCTGGAGTTCACTGTGCAAAGCAATGCCCCTGGAATTCTCCAGCAGAGAATTCTTAAATGCCCTGCAAAGCAACAAAACTCAGGATGGAAAAAATCCCAGGACAGAAAAAAATCCCATATAATAGAACCATGACGCTTAAAGTCATATCAAATTCATCATCATCATCTTCCAAGTGCAGGGCTGGAAGGGACCCTATGAATCATCTTGGTCCAACAGAGTACAGTAGATAGACTCACCCCAGTCTCAGTTTTTCTGCATCTCTACATTCCTACCCTTTGTGTGTCTCTGGTTATTTTTAGTTTCCACTTGGAAATAGACAAGCATTTTCCATACACATTATCACATTTTTCATAACATGTACAATTTTGCATTCATTGCAGTTTCTCTACTGGGGGAAAATGTGTTCCTGTCTGTTTGTCAGCTGTATGCCTTTTCACCTGTGCACCTTGTGTACTACATCTCTCCAAAATGTACCACACCCTCACAAACATGTGGATGTTCAAGGTGTGCTTTGTCTCATCAGGAATCCTGGGAGTGTCACAATGAGTGTGAATCTGAAAAGTGACCCAAAAAAAATCCCATTCCTACATGGACAAAAGCAATAGGAAATAAGAAGTGACTCTGAGCAAGTCTGACCTTGGGCAGGATAATTTCCTATATTACTAAGTAGGAAAGTTGCTTTGACTGCAACAGTTAGGAAGTAAAAGATGTTCATTAACACTAAATGAACTTGTGTTTTAATCTTCCCACAATGGGTCATTGGTGTGTTCTAGAGATGTGTGCTGTCTCCAGATGAGTGTGCAAAAATTGACCCAATCAGGAATATTGCGTGGATTTTGGAAGGACAATTGGGTGGAAGTAGAGCAATATCTCAAAAAATCTCCTTTATCCTATTCTGTGATTCTATGGTTTAAAAGGTGGTCTGAACCAGTTTGCAATGAGGAAAGGGAAAGCTACAAGTATCACGTTCCTCATTCCAAAGGAGAAGATGATTGAACAGTGAACACCCACTAGCAAGACTTGCCCTGGCAGTCCAACCACTAAAATGCTGGGCTGGGCTCAGAAATAGCTGGCCATGCATGTCTACATATACCCTCTTGCATTCTATGTTTCTGTCATTTTGTAGAAAGAGCATCTTGCTGGTTATATCTATCTATCTATCTATCTATCTATCTATCTATCTATCTATCTATCTATCTATCTATCTATCTATCTATCTATCTATCTATCTATCTATCTATCTATCTATCTATCTATCTGTCTGTCTATCTATCTATCTATCTATCTATCTATCTATCTATCTATCTATCTATCTATCTATCCATCCATCCATCCATCCATCCATCCATCCATCCATCCATCCATCCATCCATCCATCCATCCATCTGGTTAGGCAGGTTGCTTTTTGTTTGTTTGTTTGTTTGTTTGTTTTACCATTCTACAAAAAAACACAACTTCTTCTTTTTCCCCATTTCTTCAATTCTTGGCTTGGTTTGCAACATTGTACTGATTCTGGAATATAACTCCCTTTGAGCCACTGGGAAATTGTGGGAGTTGCAACACCAAAAAGGTAACTTTTGTGCACTCTGAATGCACGACGACTTGCACAGCTATGGGAATGAATATCAGTCATCGGCTCACACTGGGGCAAGTGCCAAAAAGAGAGCTGTCCAGTGCTACTAGTTTTGCAGACATCATTTTCCCCTGTTCCTCCTTTCGCCAAAAGTCAACACTAACCCAGAAGGTTCAACACCTGCTTCTTGGGCAAAGCAGGCATTCTTTTTAGGGAAGACTCTCTGGTTGAAATACCAACATTGCTGTTTCAAAACATTAAAACAGCAGATGACGCACAAATTCTGTTTAATCGGTTCTGGAATGTGTACATTGTCTTCTTTAAAAACAGGAGTTGTGACCTCATCCTTGTTCCTTTAAATATGAGGCAATAAACACCTCAGGGTTTTGCAGCCGAGTGTACGAGCTGGTGAACAAGACCTGCCAAGGTTCCAAAAGTCTTGCCCAAAGGGTCACTGTGGAGTTTGCAATAGTTCTGCACCTCAGAAGACTTTTATTCAGGTTAGGCAAATGGAAAGAAAAATTACAGTATGGTACATGTACTAATACACATCAGTAGAAACTATTTTGTGGATTGCACTATGGGTTACACTCCACAACATCTGGAGGATGCATAAACCAAAGGAATGAAAAGAACCCTTGCTCAATACCTGTCTGTCATTAGTTTAGGTTCTATTGGTCTGAAAATAGACATTAACAACACATTTTAAAGCCCCACAAGATTCTTCACCTCCAAATGAGTGGACGAAAGGTACTTTCTCCACATCTTAAGTTCTCTGTAATTTGTATAAAATGTCTCCAGTGTTCTTTCCCTTTGGAAGAAACAGTTGCACATATATACAGACAGCAAAAGTGGAAAGAGCTGGTGATTGTTAAAAATGATGCAAATAACCCATTCAGTGCTTCAAGTTGTTAAACAAAATAGCAGCCAACTTTGCATGGGGCAATTTGCATCCTGCAGCTTGCACAATGGGTGCAGCTGCATGGATTATGTGGTGTGCCCCCCCCCAATGCTCAGTTGAAAAAATGCTCAGTTCTGTACAAAATATTTTGCAATCGCAAAATGATGTTTCCTAAGGGGGAATTTCGCTTTGCGATGATCGGTTCCCTGCTTAGGGAACCGATTCTTCGCAAAATGACAATTTTCCAACAGCTGATTGGCGGTTTCAAAATGGCCACCAGGTAAACAAAATGGCCCCCACTGTTTTCTAGGATGGATTCCTCACTGGACAGGCAGCGAAAATGGCCGCCCTATGGAGGATCTTCGCTGGACGGTGAGTTTACAGCCCTTTGGGACGCATTAAACAGGTTTTAATGCGTTTCAATGTTTTATTTTCTTTTCGCATTACGACATTTTCGTTCTACAGCAATTTCGCTGGAAAGAATTAACATCGTAATGTGAGGCACCACTGTAAAAAAAAATCAATAGGTGCTAATTTTTGCAAACAGTGGATCAAACAGAACTTGCTCTCTAGCAGAAATTGCACCTAATTGCACTACATTCCCCCCCGCCCCGTCTTGGCACTTAAAACCTCCTATTACAGCATCATTAGCAGACTGATTAATTAGGAGGTGCAGAAAAGCAGAGGTGTGTGAAAGCAATCAAAGGCTGTGACCGATACACATCCAGTCATCTCACCTGAGCTGCGCTGCCATGATACAAGATTCCGAGCCACACGAGCATGCACTAGTGTCATGATTCATGCCGAAATTATGGCCCATCTCATGGGCCATGGTAGCACCAATAGCAATTGGGTTTGTGTTGTGATCCTGTACAAGGGAGAAGTGTCAAACTGTTATGAGTCCACCAAGCAACAGAAAATAAAGTGGTTTGTCATTAGTGCTGCGAGAGAACATTCATAAGAATGTTTTGGTTGGAAAATCAACAGAAAGCAGAGTAATCTTACAAATTTTAGGAACTTTCCTTGATTTTATTCTACATTTCTGGTGGCACTTTTTGACTCCAGGTCAAACTAGACAGTAAGGAAAATGCCTATTTCCTAGTAGCTAATTGCTCCTATCACGGGATTTCCTTTGATCAGTGGTTCCTAATCTTGGTTCCCAAGATGCTCTTGGACTAAAACTTGCAGATGCCTTCACCACTAGCTGTGTGGGCCAGGACTCCTGGAAGTTGTAGTCCAAGAACATCTGGGGACCCAAAGTTGGGAACCACTGTCTGAGATCTATATGTCTCTATAATCAAATTATGCTTTTAAAAAAAGAGGAAGTGGCAAGATGAAAGTGACTCATGAATGAAACTGACAGAGGCTAAAAATAGCCTGATTTGTCTGTCTCCATTTGTACTGGAGACAGGGCATTTTAATAGACCTTCCTTGTTTACAGATCCATGTCCTATCTTCATAATAAAACTCAGTTCCACAAACCTGGACAATTCCTAAAGAGTGAGCAGGATTGCACATGGTTCCCACATAGGCCAAGCCTACTGTTGGTCCACTGAAGTCAATGCCCCTGTTAAGAAAGAAAGGGGAGAAGGATGAAGATTGTCAGATGTTCTACAACCATCTCACTCGTTTCACTTACAAAACCTGACAGATTAGCAGACAAATGAAACCCAGGAATACAGCCTCAGAGAACTGTAGACTAGTCATTCTGACATGTCAGCCTACTGATTTTTTGGACTACAATTCCCAGAATTCCCAGCCATTGGCTACGTTGGTTGAAGTGATAGGAACTGTAATCTAACAACATGTAGAGAACTAGGTTTGGGACTAGTCTGTACTATGGATGCAAATCTTTGCTCCTTTCATTATTTATTATTGCTATGTGCCATCTGGTTGCCTCCAGCTTATGGTGACCCTGTGACCCTATGTCTGACATGTCTTGTCCTAAGCAGCTGTTCCAAATTCAAGGCTATGGCTTCCTTTGTTGAGTCAATCATCTCATAGTTGGTCTTCCTCATTTCCTACTGCCTTCAACTTTTCCTAGCATTGCTTCTTTTCCAGCTTATATTGTCTTCTCGTGATGTGCCCAAAGTACAACAGCCTAGTTTCTTGTACTTTGGACACATCATGTGCCCGAGGTACAATTTTGCCTCTAAGGAGAATTTGTGCTTGATTTGTTTTCTTTCTGGTGGTCCATCATATCTGCAAAGCTCATTTTTTTAGATGAGAACAAACATTTTCAGAAGTTTTGTCACTGCTGGACAAGATTACTAGAGCTTTTGTTCAGTTTTTGAATTTTAGTACTTTTTTGGGGGAAAAAATCCACACAAGCTATTTTTGAGCAAGAAGAAAATTGTATTTTGTGCTAAAACTTGGGCTCTGCTAAAAAAAAGTTACATTTTGTGCATACAGCATGTATTTTAGATAAATGTAACATTTCATTTACCAAAAATTTAGTGTTTAAAACACAAAAATACAACTTTCTGTGCAAAACAAAGAGCCCCCCCCCCATGGCACTGCTGAAGAAAAATGTCTTTTTATTCTACTACAATAGGAAAATCTCTGTTTAGTAGTTTTTTTTTTAAAAAAAAGTTATCTCTCAATATGTTGAGACATACTTTTTTGTCAAAGAAGGACATTGTGTGAGTGATTGTTACATGCTGAATATAAACCGTACGTGTGGGAGCAGTGATCCTCCATTTTGATTTACACCCTCAAGTACATTTGATCTCTGGTTCCCCTTTGAGAAAATGAATCTAGATGGAGCGATGTTTAATTTCTAAATATGAAGCATGGTTCTTAAGCTCTCTTAGGAAATGATGGTACTGCCATAGGTAGTGACAGCCTTATCTGGGACTAGCAGATAACTAGGAAAATCGGTCGGAACAACACTATCCTCATGGCATCTGGATAGCATTTTGAATGTACATCTTGCAAATATTTTTATAACTTTGGAAGCATATAGATTCCACATGGTAGTCCCGTGCAACTCATAAAACATCCCCACCATGATTTATTCTCACTATCCAGTTCCCTTTCATTGCAGTGGTACATACGTGAGTAACTGGGCATTATCATTCTTTTTGCGCTTCAGCAGAACTTCCTGCCTCCACTCGGAAAAACGATCTAAAGTGATGCCTGCTGAAGAATTCACAACAATCTTGTCACCATCAGACCAGATTTCGAGGCCAATCAATGCCACGTGGATATTTATGGCTTTGTAAACCTGTGGGGAGGACATCGTGAGAGCCCAAGAAACAGTTCAACGAACAGTTCAAGAAAAAGAAAACGGAGTTGTAAGGGATTTTCATTCCACTCTGGGGGCACATGAAGTTGCAAATATTCCAAAATAAGGATATTTTGATTTCCCAATAACTGCTCTGCGGGATTCAGAGTTTTATATCCTAAAACAGTGGCTTCCAACCTTGATTTCCAAGATGTTCTTGGACTGAATCTGCCAAAACCCTTCACCAATAGCTGTGCTGGTCAGGATTTCTGGGATTTACAGTCCAAGAACATCAGGGGACCCAAGGCTGGGAACCATTAATAATGTCTCTGCTGTCTTCTTAATTTACATCCCCCACAGATATATTTTGAACTGTGGAAGGAAGGGAAACAAGTTATATTGGCATTGCTAATAGCAGCTCCAAGGGTTTAAAAAATGTGTGCTGGTCAGGATTTCTGGGATTTACAGATATATTTTGAACTGTGGAGGGAGGGGAAACAAGTAATATTGGCATTGCTAATAGCAGGTCCAAGGGTTTAAAAAATAGGATCAGCCAATAGTTGAAAGGCAGGTAGATCAACTGACCATTTTGGAAGGCTCATTTTAAAAAGTACCTCCACAAGTTACTTATTTATCAACTGACCATTTTGGAAGGCTCATTTTTAAAAGTTACTTATTTCCTTTCCACATTCTTTAACAGTTCAATTACATGTTGCATTCCATGCTACATTAGTGGTGATTTCATAGTTCCTTTTTATTTGTAACATATCACATCCAAGCTAGGGTCATTGTCCAAGGACATAGTCCTCATAGAATTTGGTTTCCTTCCCACCCAAGCCTAGCTCTTTCTTTTTTTTTTTGTCTCCCATACAGTATATAATTTCATTAATGCTAAGGCTCTTGATTTCTGATTCTATGCATCAGAAAACAATTCATATCTGTCTTCCTGTTTGGATGTCTCTAAGACTTTAGAATCTGTCTCACATCTGCTTCCTGAAATCCTTTAACTCATTGTAATGGGAAAAACCTAAAGCAAAGTCTGCATAAATACAGGAAATGGGGTCTTGAGAAAAGAAGACTGAGGGGGGTGGGATAGGATAGCAGTTTTCTAATATGTGAAAGGTAGTCCTACAGAGGACAGGCAGGATCTGTTCTCAATCATTCCAGAATACAGGACATATAATAATGGGCTCAAGCTACAGGAAGCCAGATTTAGCCTGAATATCGGGGAAAAAACTTCTCAACTGTTAGAGCAGTATGACAATGGAATCAATTACCTTGGGAGATAGTGAGCATTCCAATGTTGGGGGCATTCAAGAGAAAATTGGACAACTACTTGTCAGATCTACTTTGATTGAGCAATCCAGAATACAGGACATATAATAATGGGCTCAAGCTACAGGAAGCCAGATTTAGCCTGAATATCGGGGAAAAAACTTCTCAACTGTTAGAGCAGTATGACAATGGAATCAATTACCTTGGGAGATAGTGAGCATTCCAATGTTGGGGGCATTCAAGAGAAAATTGGACAACCACTTGTCAGACCTACTTTGATTGAGCAGGAGGTTGAACTCAAAGGCCTTCTAGGTCCCTTCCAACTCAATTATTCTATGATTTTATAATTCTATCATACAAGAAGACTCAAACTGAGGGCCATCTGTCCTCACTAGATGAACACATGGTACCATTTGGGCATCACCATAAAGCTCAACTTTCTTTTCACTTAGAAAGCTACAGAATCTTTGGCATAACATCTTACTTACCATGTTTATATAATTGACTATTTCAAATACTCTCGTTCTCACTCCAGTCATGTTGCGGCTGTACTTTCTGAACTGCAAGAAAGGGAAGGAAAAAAAGGAAGGTGAAAATGATGGTCAGGATTAAAGTTCCAATTCATGTTTCCTCTTCTTTCAATTTTGTCCCTCTAGAAGGGCAGATTCTTCAGTACTACAGACCTGAGACATCAGATATAGAAACAACACTGTGGTATCTCGCAACTGACCATTCATAAAACAGAAGCAGGATCATTTGCCGAAAATGGATTGAGACAAGCTCCTGTTTGAAAAAAATAGATTATCTTTTCCTCTGCATTGGTCCCCAACCTTGGGTCCCCAGAAGTTTTTGGACTACAACTCCCAGAAATCCTGGCCAGCACAACTAGTGGTGAAGACCTTGGGAGTTTTAGCCCCAAACATCTGGGAACACAAAGTTGGGAACCACAGTTTTATGTAGTAGAAAGAGACAGTGGGATATTAACCTGAGTAAGAACCAGTAAACGAACACCCTTGCGAGGAAATTTCAGATGTGTATCTTTGTTCCAAATTCATTCACAGGATTCATACCAAATTCTTCACATTGAATTCTAACCAGCAAGAGTCTATTTTGTTGTTGTATTCTATCCAGCATCCAAACAAGAGTCTTTCTGGCACCAGGTTAAATGCCAAAGCATTAAAAAAGAATTCACTGGATTTTATTGGGTTTATTCTGCTTAATCCTGTTGTGTTTTGTTACGGTTGCTCATTAATTTTATTATAGTCGTTATATGGTAAGCAAAATATATCAGCAGAATTCAGAAATGAGCTTGATCTGCAAGTTCCTGAATCCTCCAGGCTGCTGTGGTTATCAGTTTCCAAAGTGGACACTGAAAATTTAAAGACTCATACCAGATGGAACACTGAGCTTTGTTCTCATTTAGCAAGACTTTCAAATGGAACTTGCAACAAAATGTTGCCATGTTGGAATGCAGTGATTCAGGATTCCAGTGTTTTCATGCAACTCCTCCTGATACCTTTGTGCTTCCTCCAATTTTTAATAGGTATTTCATGGCTACTAAGCATGTTTATTTCTCATCAGGCGCGGGGTGGTGTTTCCTTTTCTTTTGTGTTTCCCCTAAGGCTTTTATTTTATTTCATTTCTACTTCTTGGAGTTGTCTCAAAACTGATTGGATGGAGGTTTTGGATCCATAAGCACTTGTGCCCTATTTTGGATCCATAAACACTTGCACCCTCAGCCCCTGAACATCAGAAAAAGGAGGAAAGATGTTTTGTCAGGTAAACAAACTCTGTCAATGAATGAATGAATGAATGAATGAATGAATGAATGAATGAATGAATGAATGAATGAATGAATGAATGAATGAATGAGGAAGCATTCATTCATTTATACTTACCACTGTGTTGTCTACAGCTATATAAAGTTCAACATATTTCCGGGCCTGCATGTATGCCTTCTTCTGCACAAAAAAGATCAAATGAAGGTGGTTCAGTTTTCTTGTTCCCCAGCTGTCAGCTCATCAGATAACCTAAATATTACTGTTTTACAGCCAGATGAAAGTACACAAATCCTGAGATACCAGCTCTGCATAGTAAAGCACGTCTATGGGTAAAGCTTGTTAAATATGTTGAGTTTAAGGAATGTAAAGATTCTCTTTTTCAGAAGTGAAAGAAATGCAACATGAGTAATCAACAGAAATGATGACTATCTCCTTCTTAAAAAATTCTACTAGGATGTGGAGATAATTTTTTTGGATGAGACACTTTCTTCATAACGAAAATCGTGTCATATTTGTTTATTGCACTAGACTGCCGTCATTTCAAAAATGCTGAAATGCAAATATCTAGAGCTCAAAATAGTTCTCCATGTGCAGTTAGCTGGCATAGCATAAAGTCTAAGGACTATGAATGAGGAAGTAATGCTTTTGTAAGAGGGGAAGAATATGTTCTGAAATAAGAATTTCATTCTACTTTGTGAGTGTTCAAGGTTAGCCCATTAGGGAATATGTTGGAAATGTACAGAGCTATCACTCCTCTGGGATATGCCTGTGAGATTAAATCAATGAAGCCAAACAAAGCTAATTAAGAGTAAGGACTAGAGATGGTGGTATTTGTATTCATATGCGAATATGAATATCCCTACCCAGCTTATTTTAACAAGGGTCCACTCACACATCCGCCGGCGGCCCTGCTGACCCTTCCAATTGTGCCCACAGTGCTGCTCTCTTCCCACTCAGCAGGCCACTCAGCAGCCGTGCAGGGAGACTCATCCTCCCTCCCCCTGCCTGGAGTGGCCAGTCGAGCAGGGAGAGAGTGGTGCTCCAGGTGCATTTGGAAGGATGAGCGGGACCACCGCTGCCACCAGATCCTTGTTAAGTCCAGCTGCATGGGGATATTTATATTCATATACAAACACGAATTCCCCCATCTCTAGTAAGCACCATGCTTCCTACACCGCCATGACCTCACTCTGAATGGACCAATATGCATGCCTTCTTTTTAATGTGACGCCCCCTTAAAAAACCTGAAAGAAAGGTGGTCTTTTCAACACTACCTAAAATGATAATAATAAAAAAAAATCTTCCAAGCCATGAATTTAATTAGAACTAGAACAATCTTTCTCTTTCTCTAGGTAGATGGAAAAATACATGCATCTGTCTCAACTACCTCATACTGAGTCAGATCACCTGTACTCTGGGCCCATGATCTAGGGGTGAGCTTGTGTTTCCTGGTTGTTTAGTTGTTTTCGGTTGGTTCACTGGTTGTTTGCTAATAAAGCAGCTTGAGTTTCATTTGCAACGAAGATGCCAAGCCTTGCATTTAGGACTTTATACATGTGAAGGCATACATCCAATTGCTGTTCTCAACTAGAGCAGATTCATGGAATCAGTGGAGTTGGCATAAATTGCTGACATATCATTCAGCAACTGTTTCAATGGCTTTGCTCAAAAGAGGCAAAAAACATTGACTTTTCTCCCTCATGCTTGGGAGAGAGAAGTAAGAGAAGATTTACTCCATTCAGGTGCAGAAGAAAAAACTGAACACCATCCTTGTTCTCAAACTGTGTTCAATGCTTGAGATTCTAGAATAAGACTTACTTCAGAACTTGTGCTCATCCTGGAGGTCTTCTTGATGGGTTCCTCTGACTGCCATGTAGTGTTGGTTACCCCACAGATCTTGGGAGTCTCATCTTCTTGTTCTAGACTCTCGTATCTGAAGACTGCATGGGCTTCACTGTCTGAGAGCTTCAGTGGTTCAATAACATACCTCTTGCCACGACTCTTGAAATACCCTCTGTAAAATGGTGAAAACGTATTGATTAATCTGAATTTCTCTCTCTTGCAGCTGCCTGGCCAGTTCTACATTTTGTCACAAAGCAAACTTGGTTTGCCTTCTCATAGGTGGTGAAGGGCTAAGGATATTCAAGGTGGACCACACAATCTCCTTTTCCTGCAAGCTGCCCCAGCACCCTGTTCCTAGGATCCTGATCAGTTCATTAAGCAGTGGTTTATTTGTTCATTCAATAAACCAAGGAGTATTTCTGACCTTCTCTCTGTTTGGTTCAATCTTTACTAAACTGGAAAATAGAGTTGATCTGAGTCTCCTTGCCTGATCTTAGACAGGTTCTTCCATTTTCGCCTGTCTTGTAAGGAATTTAAAAATAGGCTCTGAAGAGTTATTAAAAAGAGGAGTGATGGGTTGCTAGCTTTGATCAACAGGCATTCTGTCCTACCTTGCAATGTTATAAATGCAGACACACTGTTTTATTACTTCTGATAACAAGAACTGCAAGATACAGGCCATTTTGGAGGCAGTCCAGTATCTGATGAGTTCTGCTTGCATCTGCAAAGCCTTTCTTCCATAACATCTTAACGTTCATGAAGTTAAGAGGGCTTTCCTGGCTTTCCTTTTAAACCATCTCAGACCCTCATTTTCCTGTTCTTACTCTCTGTAATAGCTTTGCCTGAAGGAGGAACTTGGATGTCTTTAAAAAGCTCGCACAGTGACTGTTGTACCTTTTGGGTTGGCCATTACTATAACATGAGGAGTAGTAATATTAATCCCAGTCCTTGCTAAACGTCAATATGGTGATCAGAAAGACATATATATGGCAAACATTGCATGCAAATCAAGGGTGTGCATGCAGGAGTTGTGCTAGTACTAAGGCAGACATATTATCCCTGAAGCAGTTCTGTTGGCCTGTTGCACAATCAGTTCGGCCAAGGATATGCGCCCAGTTGTACAACTGCACAACATAGCCATTTTTAGCTCAGAAGGATGCAGGCAGAACTCTTTATGTTACACTGACGTGAACAAGATACTGGCCGTAGGTGATTAACTGAGTTCCATAAATAATAATTATCAAATGGGAATTATGATATAAATAATTAAAACAATGCTAAATTAACAGTAAATAGAGATGGCACAATCCATTGGTTTGGTGTTTTATTGCAGCAGTAAACGAACAGGGACAGACCACCATACTGGCAGTTTCTGCCCATCTCTAATAGTAAATGAAGGAAGAAGTAATGATCAGATACTATCTTGTTGCAGAGCCAGAGGGTGGGAGTTTGATTTCCCCCACGGTGCCTGCAGGGAGAAGAGGCAGCCTGGGTGGCCTTGGGCAAGCTGCACAGTCCTGGGGCGCCCCCAGTGGAAGGGAAAGGTGAAGCACCTCTGAGTCTTCTCTCCCTGAAAAACCCTGAAAGACGGTCACCATAAGTCAGAACTGACTTGGTAGCACTTCTTCTTTTTCTTCTTCTTAGCTATAGCAACAGCAACCACTAAGGACTACCACCTTGCTATTTTCAATATTTTAAAAATGCTGGTTATCTTACCTCAAACCATGGCATGCACTGATGCTTGCAGCAGAGCCGGCATCGTCCTGGATGTGCCCTTCATAATAGCAGTGATCCTGCAAGGAGAAAAAGGCTCATACAGGTGAGTTTTGCCTAGTGAGTGGTTTTGCGAGCACTTCTGCTGTTCTGTTCTGCTCATTTGTACAGCATTGCAATAAAGAACATCTGGGTGAGCCTAGAGCCTTTTTGGCCCCTGGAATAGAAAATCAGTATCTCCTGTTCTCTTCCACCCGTCAACCTAGGGCATTAACAAACTACATTAAAATTTATAGGCACAGCAACAGAACAATGTTATTGAATTGATGGGCATATCAATATGGAGAATGTTGTGTAGGTCCTATGTCGGAGGAAAACTTTTTGTCCCTTAGATCAGTAGTCACCAACCTTGGGCCTCCAGATGTTCTTGGACTACAACTCCCAGAGATTCACCACCACCTCTGCTGGCCAGGATTTCTGGGAGTTGAAGTCCAAGAACATCTGGAGGCCTTCCTCAGCTTGGTGCCCCTCAGATATTTTAGATTTCAGCTAACATGGACAATGGTCAAGAATTCCAGAAACTGTAGGCTAACACATATGAAGGCAAGCATGTTGACAAAGCCAGTTTAGCAGGTATGAATCAAGTTTCTTCATGTCAAAATTTGTAAAGATGAGATTCTTCAAGTATCCTCACCTATTACAACTATCCTTACATCTTTGCAACTGTTCGCCGTTTTGTAAACATCCTTTTACAGGAACTAAAGCATAACTTTATTATTTAACATTCATATTTTAAATAAATGAGTACATGAAAATAATAAACCTCTTCCCTGGCTTTGTCAGGAAACATTCTCTTCCAACTCAATGACCTGAATAATGATCTCTTCCATTTGAGGAGGGGGACCTGTGGCCTCTAAAGGCTGCTGAACTCCAACTCCCTGCATTTCCAGTTACCGTGATTAATGCTGAGGGATGATGGGGGATGTAGTACACAAATGTCTGTAAGGACATATTTTCCATACCCTGAATAAAGGACATTTCCCCCTTTCTTGGAACTACAAAACAGCAGCTCCCAAATGTTTGCAAATGTGCTGATGTCAGTCTAAGGAACATTTGGCTCAACAACCGTATGATTCTGCATCATGTTAACGAAGAAATTTGCTGAGCACAGCGAATGCAGCAGTTAAAAATAACAAACAGACCATGGACATGTCTTGCCTCGTACACAAGTGGTTTTTTCCATAACCAGAACTCCCCTTACTCCTTCAGCCCCCAATGCATCACTAGTTTTGAGTGCTTTGGTCACCATTTTTCACTGGGTGTAAACTTTGATCAAAAGCATGTTGGTTAGGGACGGGCAAACTAGGCAGTTGCTCTTTCGTTCAAGTGCAAATCTTGCAAATTTCAATAAATTCAGATCAGAAATGAACTGAAAGGAAGCTTGCGCCAGAATGAGCAAATCCAATTTACTTTCTCTAAGACTTGAATTCTGCAAATTTTGGTATGTTTTCGACACAAAACAAACTGAAACAAAATTCTCCCCCCAACTTCTTCCCCCCCTTCATCCATTTGGTAACAGCTGCAAAACAAACTGAAACAAAATTCTCCCCCCGACTTCTTCCCTCCCCCTTCATCCATTTGGTAACAGCTGTCATAAAAACACTGTCCACAAATCAGATGTATCTTATGCAATGTATAGGGACACTATAGGGCAAGATAACACAGAATGTATACATATGTGCATCCTACATGTGCATCCTCATGGTCAATGCATATGATGGTGACATATTCATTGAGAGAAGAAATAAAACAATTCATAGCTAGTTGTTTGCATCCATCTTCGTGTCATTTGTCTACATAAAGCCACAGTCTGCACCCAAATTTCATGACTGTCAACCACAGTCATGAGAATGCAAAAGGAGTCATGAGAATATAAAAGGAGGTCTTCCAGCTCGAACCCAGAGATGGGCGAGAATGCTGTTCAGTCTTTATACAAACCATTCATAATTCCTTTAGATTTATAGAACTAACTTCATTTTAACAATCTGAACGTGTGAAAAAGCAACGCTTGTGCTCGAGGCTAATTTACCCATCTAAGGCAAAAGCCTAAGTCATTCGCTCTTAGAAGTCTGTCCTTGAATATTCACCCATGTTTGTGGTGCTACGTAGGGTGGCAGATGAGTATAAAATCATCCTCTTAACATCTGTTATCAAATTCGGCCTGTGCAGATCATGCATTAAAATTCCAGTTTCATTCAGTCCTCTTTTTAATTCAGCCGTATCAAAATGTACTCATTTGCTTATGAATCAATAAGAAAGGTGTTGAACTATTAAAACTCTGGATGTGGGACCAGGTGAAACTGGAGAGTGGTGAGTTTAGGGTGGAAATGGGAACATGTGTGGGAATAGGAAGGTGAGAAGAATGGGATTAAGAGGAAAGAGAACTGAATATGAATGCCTAATAACGAGAGTCCAAAAGCCAGTGTTGTGTAGCAGGTGGAGTGGCAGGCTAGGACTCAGAAGACCTGAGTTTGAATCCCCTACTGAGCCATGGAAACACACAGGGGTTGTAGCACCAGTAATGCTATTTCTTAATTATATTTCGTTATCTCATGTACCTTGAAAATCCTATTAAGGTCACCATAAGTCAGATGCCATTTGACTACACATAATACCAATGAGCTTCCAAGGTGACAATGTCCTTTTTGACACAGGAGTGAATGTTCAGGATGCTAGTAATGTTCAAATCCTGGCCATCGCGTCTTCAAACACTCTATGGCAACCTATGGCCCTGCAGCCAGCATACAAAGGAATATTGTATCGAATGATGGAGATGCAATTTATCCTTAATGGCTAATTTATTTCTTAACCTTTCCCTCCTTTATTTTCTTCAGTGATCTCAAAGCTGAGTCAATCATTGTCTTCCACCCTTCTCTTAGCTTAACAACTACCCTCTTAAGCAGGCAAAGCTTAGAGAGTGAATGATTCTCCCACTGGGAAGAAACTGGATTTCTGAAGTCCCACACTAATTAATTAATTAACCACTATCCTACCATGGAATGGGGTTATTTTAGTGAAATGAATGATGAGAGGCACCGGTGATATGACAATTTATGTTGCTTAAAAATGGAAAGTGCTTTCAGCCCCCTGCAAATGTAGTTGATTAATTTTCTTCAAAAAGGAACTTGACACAGTGAGTGCCTTTGTGCTTATAATTGAGGAACCGATTTTCACGGTCTAGCGAAACCATCTGGAATAACCTGCAAAACATCTGCTGCGGGAGGTACCTGCTGAAGCTGAACACTATGAAATGAATATCTCATTCAGTTAGATCATGTAGGAAAACGGGCAATATTTGGGTTTAGGCAGCGAGAGTCCTGCCCTTTTCTCAAGGAATCCCAGTGACCCTCGAGTGCAGGACAAATGTTTCTTTTATGGGAAAAGATTTGTTCCAGATAACCAGCTTACGTCAATTAGTGGGTCTTGATTAGGATTAGGGACAGAATATTGGTTTAAGTAGTCTTTAACTTTTATCCTGTGGACTCCAAGTTAGCCAGGCAGAATGTAAGAATCCGTTAATGTTTTCCCATAACATAAATATTCCATGCTAAAACCATCCCTCAGTTAACTTCCGTTTTTTTAAAGAGTCAAGCAAACCTTTTATGACTATTGATATTTATACCCAGGCAACTTTATCTAACATACCTACATTTAGGCATTGTCATCTGTAGTGCACCCATTTTTCTATGGTATTTACCTAGCAGATGAATTTTTACATGCAGCCTACCAGAGATTGGCATGGATGCCGATTCAGCAGTTCATGCCAGTTTGTTTAGTGGTTGAATAGGTGTTTGGCGATTCACAGCCCCGCCTCCTCTGTTGGGCACCCACTCGGAGGCAGTGCCCAGAGGAGGAGGGCAGGAAAGCAGGGTGCAATACCTCTGAGTAGGCGCCTGGTAGGGAAGGCAGGGCTGCGAAGACCATACACCTGTTCAGCCACTAAACAACCCACACAAGCCGCCAAACTGTCAGTTCATACCCTCCTCTACAGCCTACACAACTACAAAACTTAGACAAGCTACCAATCTGCAGGATTTGTGTGTTATGTGCCATCAAGTCAGTTCTGATTTATGGTAACCCTAGAACAGTTTCTACAATTATGATACACTTAAGGAATGTGTTCTCAAAGGCTTTCACAGCCAGGATTGGATGGTTGTTGTGGGTTTTTCGGGTTGTTTGGCCATGTTCAGAGCACAGCCTGAAAAACCCACAACAACCAACTTCAGGAATGCTTCTGCTATTGCCACCCATCAGTGAGTTTCCATGGCCAAACAGGGATTTGAACCCAGGTCTCCTCTATCCTAACCTGGCATTCTATCCACTACACTACACTGGAGCGGGCAGGTGAACAATACCTGTGTTCCAATCCACTCCTTAGATTCCGAGAAGGAAAAGCCCAATCATCTCCAATGTTGGGGACCCTAATCTGGCCTTCGGAGATCCCCTTGTTGCCTGTCATTCACTGAAGGAAGACAGAAGTGCCTGGAGGGGTATATCGGGGCAACTCCATGGCCAGGAGCCGGTTACACATCCCACATCATCTGAAGGGTCAATATCACATGAGCATAAGCAGCATATCTCAGAGAAATAAATGTTTTGAACTCTTTTCAGGTTGTTATTGCATGTTTGGACTCTTGTTTTCTTGTTTTCTAAGAAAAAAAACCAAATCTTTCCAAAGGGGAAACCGTGCCCTGCCAACCATTGAAAATTTTAGGGGCTGGACCCATAAGTCAACTGAGTTGCTCATTGCTATGTTCACAGATAGCAACCAGTATGGACAGGCATATAGGCTCTGATTCTGGAGCTAATAGATGTAGCCATCATATCTCTCTCCCTGAGTTTCCTTAGCCCCCTTTCATCCCTGACTAAGATGGTGGCCACTATGACTTCTCTCAGGAACGAATTCCATTGTTTGTAGTGTGTACTATGTAAAGAACGACTTTTGTCCATCCTTCCATTGGTCTTGAGTCTTGACTCAACTGAGGTTGTTCAGCCACTTCTAGAGCTTGGGAAAAGATACTATTGTGCACTACAGTGCCCAGAATCCTTCAGCAAGATTCCAGGAGCAAAAAGTGAACTTGTCCAGACTCTGGTGGCTGGCTGTGTTTTTAAGCAGATGTGTGAACAGCTGTCCGCAAGGCATATCAAGCTATTTTTCTAGAATCTCTGGACTTCAAAAGGCAGTCGGTCTCAGAGAACAAACAGAAGCCAGAGAGTACCTGTAGTTGATACTAAGGCCAATTAAACTGTTCACCCCACCAAAATGAAAATTACGTGGTGCTGAATACAGTGCTGATCCCAAGTCAAGATACGGATGGAAATGTTTGGCCTAAAACATAGCTGGCTTAGAACTGTTCTAAAACTGCAGAGGTACTAAATGTCTATAAAAGACAGAAACATTGCCTGCTGTACGCTGAATGCCAAAAGATATTTTTTGCAGACAAATGCCAACAAGACATTATTGAATTTCAAACAAATGTGTTGTTACAGTTTGTAATTCATGGCTGTTTGGAAGAACACAAGATCAGTGTGGAAGGAACAGGGTTGATACCAAACAGTCTGAGGGGACCTGACGAATCAAGGGGAAGGGCTGCCAACCCAAAAAAGAGAAGCAAGGAATGTAGAATGTTCTGTTCCTATCACAAACTGCTCTACCCACCAAATTCGCCTCACTAGAGGACAGCCCCATTAAGGCATCGCGGCTTCAGTAGTACAAACTTTTAGAAATGTGGTTCAGCCACACTATGGGATCATTTAAAGCTATGAAATGACTGCCATGTTTATTTGAACCTGGATAGTGATCCTGTCACACACACACACATACATACAGACCCCCACAGATATATTTTTAAAAAAACTTTGGTGGGACACCAACTGCAAGCATCACATTCTCCACCTCTTGCCTTATCATCATCATCACCATGCACAATTGTCATAACAATTGTGAGTTACCATGCACAATATCATCACCATGCACAATTGTCGTAACAATTCTGAGTTACGACAACCATTTCCATGGTTTTCCGGGTAGAAATAATTTACCCTTCTCATCATCTGGGGTCCTCCCGATACTGTGCAGCTTGCCCAAGGTCACATAGAGGGACAGTGGGAATTGAAATCCCAACCTCTGGCTCTACAGCCAGCGAGCTGTTATCATCCAGCTAATAATAATCATGTGATGTCAAATCCATTCTGACTTATGGTAACCCTTTTTCTCAGTTTTCCAGGTAGAGAATACTCAGAAGTGTTTTACCCTTCCTTTCCTCTAGGGGCACCCTGGGACTCTGCAGCTTGCCCAAGGCCACCCAGGCTGGCTCTTCTCCCAGAATGCACAGTGGGGAATTGAACTCCCAATTTCTCAACTACTGAGCTATCCAGACAGAAGATGGACTATAAAGCAGGGGTTTGAGTAGAAGATAGCTTGAGCCCTACCAGGAACTTGGAAGTAATCCTGGCATGGATTTCTGATTCCCATTTGTTTACCAAGCTCAACGAAAACTTGGTTAACACAAATGGTACTGCTCAAATTAAGAAAGCAAAAGTAGGGCAACCGAGCATGCTTTTACCATTACCTCAGTCTGAGGGGTTGTTGTAATTTCTCTGCCATCTGGGGAGTAATGAGTCTCGGTGTAGTCTTTGGAAAAAAGCTCCCTGGAAAAAATATAATAGAATTTATTATTCAAGCCAGAAATTAAGTTGGAACAGAGATAATGACATAATGAGTCCACCACTTTATATTCCTCATGAGATTTAGTGACTATTTTTAACATCAGAACAGAATATCAAAGAGAAAGGCAAGCCTTTAAACCTCTGCTTGATACATATTTCCAATAAAGGGTATGGGGTTGGTAAGGTTTAAAAGAACGGCGAGCAACCTGTGGCCCTCTGGGTATTGCTGGGTTGCAACTCTTGGCAGGCTTGACCAGTATCTCCACTGGTGAGGTATGATGGGATTTGCAGTACCAACAATGTTTGGATGGTTGCATGCTCTCTCTACTGCTTTAAACAAATGCCCACACATTCAGACACTCACAGAGAAACAGAGACACTGACCCTTCTTGTTCACATGGAATATTTTGCACATCTGGATAGAAAGAAAATGTTTTGCATATATACATCAACTATCTTTTCTCCTGTAAGTCACCACCTCCACCACTACGACCATCATTATGCTTACTACTTTTTTAATATAATTTAGGGCAAGGATACTATTCATACTATTTGATATGACTTACAAACTATTCCATTAGTGCCAAAGCACTATTTTGGAAGGTTTACAAGCAGTTAAAACAACTACACACACACACGCACACGCACGCGCACGCGCACACGCGCACACGCACACGCGCGCACACACACACACACACACACACACACACACACACACACAGAAACCCTGAAAACAAGATACAAAAGCATAGCCTAAAAATTAACTACTAATGGAGCAAACCAATTTTCAGAGCGAAGCAGGACTGTTAAATGTTCAATGTTGTTAGCCTGACAACATTTAACATTTTCTGAACTATAAATATCCCATCCATTCAGGATGTAAGATTTCCTCCTTCCCCCCCCCCCACGTCTGTGGTTTGAGCTTCCTTCCATCTTGTGGTTGTATGTGTGTGGTGCTCTACGTTGCCTCCCTTTTTGTGACATTCTTTTACCATATTTTGTTTATGTATTTAAATGTATGTAAGTCATATTGAATAGTATTTATTCAATTATCAGAAGACCAGCAGTCATAAGATAGAAACCACGCAACAGAGTGAGCTCCCGCCGCTTTGTCCCAGCTCCTCACCAACCTAGCAGTTCGAAAGCATGTAAATAAGAGTAGATAAATAGGTACCACCTCAGTGGGAAGGTAAAACGGTGTTCCCTAGTCACGCTGGCCACGTGACAACGGAAACTGTCTTTGGACAGGCGCTGGCTCTATGGCTTGAAAAGCGGGATGAGCGCCGCCCCTTAGAGTTGGACATGACTGGACTAAAAAAATGTCAAGGGGAACCTTTACCTCTACCTATTTAATTGAAATATATATATGCCACATGTTCCTCTCTTGGCAGAATTGGGCTATTGCTGGTTTCACACACATTGGAAATATATTTTTCTAGAAGCCCTTCAAAATATAGATAATGGATCAGCCATGCTCATGGCCATCTCGTCATGTGGGGATTCCCAACCCCATAGTCCCCCAGTACACAATCAACCTGGGGAATAAAATATGGGTGTTGTTTATGTAAAAAGTCTGGAAGAACTGATCTGGCACACTTCTGTTGCAGAAACAGGAATGTGCAGGGGGGGGGGACTCAATACTTCATCAAAATACAGACAATGCCTCTTTTTTTACAATAGCCCATTGTATAGAGTTTGTTAGATTCATGAGGAGGGCTTATCATTTATCTTTGGGGTACCCAAATTTCAGTTGATGGGCACGCTTTATCTTTTCAATATTGAATTATTCGTTCATTTATTCATGGTGTAATGCCTATACTGGTTTTGTTTATTTATCACTTTGAGAATTGTAGGATTCATTCAGAGTTAATATTTCAGTTAGGGTTGGAATCATGCAGTGCAGAGAGCTGGACCTTCCCTTAAAAATTCTTCTAGTTGGATTCCTCCTCCTCCCCCACCTGCCCCCCCAAATATCCCTGGAGAATGGTGCCATCAGGGGGTGCAATTTTCCTCTAAAACAAGATGCAGGTGGTTGCATACCTTGTTTTAGCCTAATCTTGGAAGACTTAAAGCAAAAGTCTAAAAAAATCTAAAGAGGACTGAGCTTGCAACCATTTCCTGTTTTATTTAGACTGCCTGGCGTCACCCTTGCAGAATCCTGGGTTTAAAAAACCTGGCCTTGGATGCTTGAACCCTTGGATTTTGTCCACTCCTGATTAAAGAAATGAAAATGGTGATGTGGTGCTAGTGAGGGGGGTGAAGATGGTAATACTTTTAATTGTTTGTCCCTCAATATCATGGCCCCCAAGTGTCTTAGAAGAGGGGTAAAATGTTTTTTTGAAAAATTTGAACCCATGCATTCAGGCTCCACATTAGAATGCAATCTGTTTCAAAAGAAGGAAGTGTTATGTATTAAATTCACTGATTTCCAAACTCAGCAAATGGATAACCAGGTTTTAAGACCACAGAACGAGGATTTCCCAACAGAGGGAAGACTGGAAGAACAAAACAGGTCTAGATTTCCCTGTCAACAGGTAATGCAAAAACCTGTCTTTGTTTGCAGGTGAGAAAATCCAGTAGGTACAAAGGTATGGGAAATAATTTCAGTGAAAGTCTGCTATTGCCTTGTATTGAAATAAAGCTTTCACCAAAGAATGCTGAGCCCTCCCCAGTACAGCAAGTGAAAAGGCAAAAAAAAAACCTGTTTGGCAGGTTAGTTATTATGCAGATACTCACTAAGTGGCCATTGTACTTAGCATTACTTTTATTAATGTCTAAATCTGCAGTTCTGACTGAGAGCCCTTAATCTTTATCAGAATTGAAATGCTATGGTTTCAAAGACTGGTGCAAATAATGAGGAGGAGATCTCAAACAGATGATGATCTGGGATCATTTTTCTCCTTGGTGTATGGTGTTTTTTTTTTTTTTTTTAGTATGATATGTAAACTGCACTGCTGAATTAACAGAAAAAGATCTTTGAAAACTTCACAAAAACTGCTGGAGAAGGGGTGCATGGACAAGATCACAATGTAAAAAAAGAATCACTGAATTCTCCATGTAATATTTTCCACCTGCCCCCAAATGCAAGAGGACTGCACAGCTCAAGGGTTGCTACTCCAGATTTTGACCTGTGTGGTCAGCCTTAGATTAGATCTGCCAACATAGCTCATCCTTCTGTGCATTTCATCCATTCTCTCTCTCTCTCTCTCTCTCTCTCTCTGTCTCATAGGCATGCACAGATGCACACACACATAAACACATAATCTTAACTGCATTAACAGCCAGTTAAGATTAAGATTTCCATGTTTTATAGACAGGCTGCTTTGATCCTGATCAGGTCCTCTCTGCACCAGCATAATAACAACTGCAGAAAAAGTGTATCATTGCAAGAATGAACTTAGCTGCCATTATTGACTCTCAGTGTAACAAATGATAAACATTTTCTCTGTTAACTTACTTGTTTTTTTCTAGATGAAGAACCACCTTCTGCCCGTTCATTTTAATTTCGTACTGCATGGCCTCGTCATATTTGGCCTGTAATTGAAAGAATTTCTTGGATGAAGCCACAAGCCAGAGATGGCCACCTGCTAGACTTCGCAAGGAACAATCCTCTCTTTTATGCTATCCCCTATTTTGAGGAGCTGTTCAGCAGAAATTGGATGTTAAAGTAAAAAAAATCCATAAGCAGGAAGAACCAGGCGCCTTGAAACTGCATATTACCAGATAGCAGACTGATTAGGTATAGAGGTGTCTGAGTCACAGTTCCCCCTGTATCAGGAGATGCACTGCAAATATGTTTAAATTATACTGATTATTTCAGAATGTTCATCAACATAAGTGCATTTGTATCAATGCACATCTATGCAAATCTATCTCCTGTCTTTTCCCCTTTTCTTTCTCACTTACACCTAAGTGACCACGCCACTGCTATAAACTACGATGGGACACCCTCCTTGCAATCTCTTGTCGGAGAAGCAGGAAGAGGAGGAGGAAGTAGCAGAGGTTCCTCCAGCAAGAACCAGGAGGCCGGTGAAGAACCTGAACTTAGGCTCCATGAAGCCACTGTTTATGATCTGAAATGACTCCATGACAGTGGATTTTTAATTAATACCCACTCTTCCATGCTGCACCAGATGCACACCAGCAGAGTTTGGAAACTTGGGGGAGTTTCGGAACTCTACTCTTGAGAATGAACTTCTCCGAGGTCTTTTTCAGACTGTGGAAGGAGGTCCAGCGCATGCATAAATGGATGTCTCAGTTTTATAAAACAGGGTGGCACAAATACTAACAAGTAAACACTCTGGACATACAATCATACAGTTCTCTGGATTGTAGACCAGAAGCCTGAATTTCTGAAAGCCTGTGGAGTTTAAATGCTACATTTTATTTTTTTTTTTTTAATGAAGACTTCAAATGGACACTTTTCCCAAGCCTGTTCCAACTTCTAGAAAATTTGGGCTTGATCCCACTGACAAAAACACCCATTGTTCTACTGGGATCTTTGTTAAAAATTGATTTACATTTTAGCGTACACACTAGGTACGTGCATGCTTGGAACACTGTGCCAGGGGAGCGAGTGTTTCCGCTCTTCTGCCAGAGGTCCATTAATTTTGGGCTGGCTTCGTTGGAATCAATTGCATATATGTGAACGCTCCATTTTATTCCTGTTACCATATACAGTAGCAGGAATTTTTTTAAAAAAACCGAACGTTCTGAGCTTGGAAAAAAGAGAAAAAGCTGATGCCCAGTCCTTTACCCTTTTGCCCGCCCAGTCACCCCCTCACTTCCTTGCCCCTCGCCTACCCAATTGTGCCTTTGCCTACCCTTTCATTCGCTCACTGCCCCCCAGCTGCCTGGTCACCACTACCAGTCCACATGGACTTTAGCCTGAATCTAAAAAAGCACCCAATCCCTCTGCTGGTTTATTCTGGCGGTGGGAACAGGGTCTCTGTTGCAGTGACCAAGAAGTCATTTCCTGTGGTTGTTGTGGATTTTTCAGGCTCTTTGGCCATGTTCTGAAGGTTGTTCTTCCTAACATTTCACCATTCTCTGTGGCCGGCATCTTCAGAGGACATTTCCTCTGAAGTCATTTCCTCTTACCTTTTGTTGCGTGTGCTGGTTTCCCCCAACATCTCTTTTATGCAACACATGGATTTTCTGTGGGTACACCACTTCAAAGTCCTTCACGCCAGGTAGTTCCTTCAAAGAGCTCCCTTCGTGCAGAAAGAAAAACCAAACACACTTGGTTATGTAATTCTGCATTCTCCATACGCTGCAACACTTTTAATTAGCACATATGATCAGATCCTCTTTCCTACTGAAACACAGACTAAGCATGCATAAAATGCCCTTTTCTCCAAGTTTTGGCCATTTGCTTGTTGAACCTGTTGATTTAGGGGCTGCTCCTATCTAGTGGTTATTATTTATTGGACATAATTTTGGAGGAAATCGAAGGGGATAAAACTGAACGTTTGAATAAAATCAGCAAAAAGAAAGAAATTAAAAAAAGCTAGCATATCTATTCTCCCCTGAGAGTAAGCACTATGGACAAAACAGGGTTTACTCTTGACTAAGTGTGGGTTCATTGGCTCTTTATATTACAAAGCTGTGTGAGAAGTAAGAGGTGACTAGAGGTTGGGGGTGTGCACACAGTGAATTTTGGAGGAATGGATGCTGCTTTACAGATGAGATTCATCTGGTAATTTGTGGGATCTCTCAACACATCCTCAAAGCAGAAGATGGGAAATCCATTGCATTCAACAGAAAGCCTGTGCTGAATGAAATAATGGTAATAAAAATATAGACAGCTAACACATTTTTGAGTTCTACTCTTTCTTCATGAGCTAGAGCAATAGACATGAGGGTCTGCTGGGCTATTGGAACATGTGCATTTCTTGGACAGGGTAGCATGCACAACGTTGAGAGTGCCACATTGCCCCCACCTCTGTGGTAAGCTTTGCGGCTGAGTGAAAATCAGATGTGCTTGGCTGAAGGTCGCCATCCACTAATATACACTTATGTGGGAGTAAGGCCAACTGAACTCTATGGGATTAGTCTTTGAGAAGCCCTATACAGGATGGCAACGTGCATTTCAAACAAAGACTTGCCACGTGGGCTGTACACTTGCTTTCAAGAGCATCTGTTGTCCTTACTCTGCTTCAAATCCTGAAGCAATGTCTCTGCCTAATAGTAGGCCACGATCCGGTGATGCTTAATTGTGGGTCATCAAGTCAACTCTGACTTATGGCAACCCTTCCCAGGGTTTCTTAGGTAGGGAATACACAGAAGTGGTTTTCCATTCCCTTCTTCTGGGGGTGTCCTGGGTCCGTGCAGCTTCCCCAAGTCCACATAGGCTGGAACTTCTCCCAGAAGGCACTGTGGGGAATTTAACTTCCAATCAATGGCTCTGCAGGCAGATACCTAAACCACTCTGCTCTCCAGCCAGTAAGTGATTCCCTCCTGTGGCCTAAATAATCATGGACAGATCTGCATTGTCAAAAGGGGGACGGGGCTTAGATGAGCCGGTAGCCAAAGCTACCAAGAAAATCCCCTTTTAGCTGTCACCACTATTTAAGCATCCAGGAGCAAAGAGGGATCGAAGCATGAGCCTGCTCTCAAACCACGAACCTGGTCTTTCCAAGGGATTGTAGCTCCAATCCTGAACAAGCTGTCTAGTCAAAAGGGGGACGGGGCTTAGATGAGCCACTAGCCAAAGCTACCAAGAAAATCTCCTTTTAGCTATCACCACTATTTAAGCATCCAGGAGCTTCTTCTTAAACCACAAACTTGGTCTTTCCAAGGGATTGTAGCTCCATCCTGAACAAGCTGTCTTCCTGATTCCAGATTAACTTTGCTGCTGATAAGCAGAACCTAATTTCCATTTCTCAACCAAATATATAGACCAGAATACAGTCCCTAAGATTCCACTTCTCTGAACGTTGCGAACTCAAAAAGGCATACAAAAAATTCACGTTAGAGAAAAGAGTGTACAAACATACTTGTCTTAGCGAAAGATGGAAATGTGATGAATATGTGAAAGACAGTTACATATGAAATCAAATTTTAATTTTCATGTAGTTAGTTTCTTTTCAAAAATATCATAAAATCTTGCAGAAATTAGATGGAATAGCCTTAGGACTGAATACAGAAGAAGCTGATGTGAACTGGATGAAGACTGATTTGTGCATCATTCACTTTTGCCTAGATTAATTCTGAATGTATTTGCTCTCATCCTATGTGACTAAGTCAGGAAAAAAGGGAGCTGTCCTTCTTCAGAATCAGCAGGAAACTCTGAACTCAGCAGGAAAACAGCTGAGTAGGGACTGAGGCATGGATGAGTAAGGATTTGTATAAAGGGGTTCAGCTAAGAGGTGGAGTTAGTTGGTTAGAGAGAGCTTTATGAATCATATATAGGGCATTTTTAGTGCTAAGCTAACATGCTTTGCAATCTTTTTAACTGAGTTCATCCTCTTAGCAACCCTCTTCAGGGGCTGAAGTCATGTTGAGTCCAAGATGACCACCCAGACTCATCCATTAGAGTGTGTAATATGTACAATCCAAGATTTCTAATGCCAAACCTAAAGTCCTAGTCAACAGACTGTGCCAAAAGGAGCATCTTCTAGGTGTGTGACTGTGTAGCTCTCTAGATGTTATTTTGATGACATCTCCCATCATTTGGCTGTATTGGGACAGATGAGATTTGTGGTTCAAAAACATCCAGAGGACCACAGCTTCCCATCTTTGATCTAAGTCTGGGCCATACAAGACTGGCACATGCAGAGGATGGACAGAGGAACAGAAAGGAATGTTCAAATCTCAGCCTACAAAGACCATCCAAGTTCTTCACTGAGTTCATTTCTGTTTGGTTTCTTCATGTCTGGAGATGAGAAGTTAGAGGCAGGATACATGCACAGGGAAGGTGAGTTTGCCTCCATCCAGGAGCAGTAAAAATTTTTGCCATCTAGAGCAGTGGTCCTCAACTAGGGGCCCCCAGATTTGGACTTCAACTCCCAGAAATCCTGGCCAGCAGAGGTGGTGGTGAAGGCTTCTGGGAGTTGTAGTCCAAGAACATCTGGAGGCCCACGTTTGGGGACCACTGCTCTAGAGCAGTGGTTCTCAAACTAGGGTCCCCAGATGTTCTTGAACTGAAGTTCCCAGAAGCCTTCACCAGGATTTCTGGGAGTTGCAGTCCAAGAACATCTGGGAACCCCCATTTGAGACCCACTGCTCTAACTTACAGCACCTTGGGTATAATCCTCAAACATCCCATTACAGCTGGGCAGATTCCCCAAGCAACACAATGGGACTTCTAATCCTAGACCACAAGTTTGCCCACCTCTACGTCTTATCATAGCAACAGCTCTGCAATGTGTAATGCCTTGAACCTGCAGAGGAAATATTGGCAAGCAATGTAACCAAAGTTTCCTTTTTGGACAATAATTCCCATAATCCACAAGGCAGCATAGCCTGAGAGTTGTAGTTCAAAAACATTTTTTTCCACTATGTTCTGGATACATTAGATCAGTGGTCCCCAATCTTGGGTAACCCAAGAGTTCTTGGACTGCAGCTCCCAGCAACCCTGTCCAGAATAGCTGGTGGTGAAGGCTTCTGGGAACTGCAGTCCAAGAACACCTGGAGTACCCAAGGCTGGAGACCACTGCCTTTGATCATAGCTAGTCGCAGCGCTGGCTAAGGTTTCTGAAAACTGTCATCCAAACAATTTTCTGAGGCTCTGAATATAATAAATAGTTAAATAAAAGAAACAGCCAGGTTTTTTCTTTGGTAAGTTTTTTACAAACAGATTTTTGTAGTGGTTGGCTGAGGGTAGTGTCTGTTTTTATTTTTTAACTCAGAATCCTTGCTTTGCCCAGTGGTCATTTATTTTTGCTGAAGTCATGTGCAAACATGCCTTGCGCAGGTATGAGAAGTCATTCATTCCTTTGCTTTTCTAGAAACTACCTGTGTATTTCAACTACTGCACACATAACACCAGCCTCCGGCTATGAAACTTTAGCAGTAATAATGACTAATCCACTGCCAGTTCCTTTCATTAGGAAAAAAAATTCATAATTGAATAATAGGAAGCAAATTAGCACACCCACGCACACTACTCAGCATGTAGATCCTACACAGTGACCTCTTGCCATGAGTCCCAATGTGTGTGTGTGTGCATGTGTGTGTGTGTGTGTCTTTGAGGGAGTTGTGAAGTTCTGCACTGTCACACTTTCAGGTATGGAAGCAAAGTGTGAAATGGGTGTGGTAAAGGGCAGCGGAGATGATCTGGACAAAGTAAGGAAAATTTGTCATCAAAAGAACAAGGCGACAGAATTGGGTGTGTTTAATCAGCAGCTGGGATTAGAAAAAGCCAATTTGGGGACTACAGTCCCCATAATCCCCCATTGGCTTGTGTAACCAATGAGGACAAGGTAAGACTTCTCAGATACCAACAGGGCTATCCTGAAGAAGGCAAAGACCTTAGATCAAGACTGGTCAGAGAGGTGGACCAGCTGGCTGGTTGCACTGAACATTTCAAGTCAATAACACCAGCCTTAGGCTATGAAACTTTAGCAGTAATAATGACTAATGCTGTGGATGCCCTTGGTCTTTTTGCTTAAAATGCAGTGTCTGGAATGAGCAAGGTGGCAAGAAGCAAGCACCTAGAAACATTTTCCCCCCAAAGTGCTAGAGGTCATTGGGGTGATAATGATGAAAATGACCTTTCTTCACTTGTCTTTAAAATATCTTTCTTCCTCAGTGTCCAGTTTGAGGTCATTTGTGCTAGGTCAAAATTTGTGGGCCAACAATTTGTGGACAAACAAAATTTGTGGACCATTTACTCCCATGGATGGGTCTTTTTAGGGGGCTCACAGCAGCACCTTGAATGTGACACTCGTCCCAGGCCCCATAAAAA